TTGGCAGCATTCACAATAGACAATAGACCTAGTCTGCACATCAAATATGGCGAACCCTCTACAGTGCTTGTTGCATAATACCCACGGGAAATACATTTAGTGTTTATTAGGGGTTAAGATGGCAAGCTTTGAAATGGGTTGCCATATTTGATCCACAGACTAGTTAGTCTGCTGTTCTGCCTTACATGCCTCAGTTCATTTATTATATTATCATGTCAACATTAAAGGTATAATAACTCTTCGTTTTGACCAAAAAATGAATTTTCCTGGAGTAAACAACAATTTTCCCATACTTACCAATGGTTAATGAATCCATTTTTACATTCAAAGTTAGTCCCTGGTTTTTTTCTAAAAAGTTTGGTTTTTTGTTAAAATCTCTTAAGAGATTATAACAGAGTATAGCCATCAATAGAGGTCACGTGGTCTGAACACAAGCTAAGATATCAGAATAATAGCTATAACTGCCGTTTTTCTTGTACAACTGAATATATTATATTTCCACGAGCTGTTCACAATGTTTTTATTGTGAAATATAGATCTCATACGAAGAGTTATTATCCCTTTAATTTTCATTAGTTAAATGCAAAAAGTTACTTTTTCATACTTTCTTATATGAATCAAACTGAAATTTCCAAACTTGTATTATTCCAAGTATTTTACTGACAAAACCTTGTGTTTGAAAGTAGAGATGATCTTATTGTTTTAATATACAGTAATAATTCAATCTTTTTAATGGGGTAAATTGTGAATTTTACAGATAGTGTAATTCATATATTATAGATTCTTAAATAGAATAGATTCTTAAAATTAGAACAAATTCTTATCTAGTGGTAGAAAAATAATCAAAAAACAGACAACCTTACATATTCATTTTCTGCATACTAGAAAAGCACCAAAAATGCTATTATAAAAGGTTGTTTTTAATAACTCTAAAATTATGAATCTGAAAAACTAAAATTTTCCCTATAGAAAAGATTGAGTCATTACGCTAAAACTTAAAAATGATATTTTGTCTGGTGGCCTTATCTTGACCAAAACTGGTCTGGGTATGATGTTACAGTATTAAAAAGAAATTAGTTTCTTGTCCCTATCTCATGCCTGGATCATCAAACCATAACAAGGCACCCTGTAAATATATATGATAACTAACAGACATTTATATCTTGGCCAAATCCTAAATGATTACATATATAGAATTAATATATATAAAACTATTAAGGATTTGGCCAAAATATACCATGGTCATAATACTATAGCGTGCCTGGTTATGAGGTATGTCCTGATTGAGGTATGAGATAGGTACAAGCAGTATCAGTGAATTATAGTGGTAGAGTACTTAAATGTCTTCAGTGGGATCAGTGTACCATTCTTCTCTATGGGACTTGTATTTATGTGACGTGTGGCATGTCCAATATGTTATGCTGGATGGTGAGCTTGAGTGATGTATGGATTCTCTATGTGGATAGAAGTGTGACAGTGACGGAGTTGACTATTGGTGCTGCGCAGTAAAGGGCACTAGGGAAGACTGGTAGCTATACCTTGCTACTTTATGGTAAATAAGTGAGTGTTACAGAGAGAGAGAGAGAGAGAGAGAGAGAGAGAGAGAGAGAGCATATGTATTTAGGTACAAAGTCTTGTTATGAGGACAAATAATGACATTCTTAATATTTAATTATTTGTGTCAGTCATGATAAGAGACTCTTGTTGTGTTTCAGATTGTCTGCGATAGCGTGACAGAAAATCATCTCTCTCAGTTAGAAGTAGTGCAGAACCAGGTAAGCTTCCTTAGTTGTTTACCTTATTAACATCAACAGAATGCAACCTACTGAGTAGAGGAATGTCAGGTACAAATGAATAGCACTATGTATATTCATTCAAGAGCTAATTACATACAAGATGTTTTTGTGTTGTTTATTTGATAAGGTGCACTAAATGAAAACAAATCAAGCACAATTGAAATTCAAACTTACCATTAATGTGTGGGAATCATCTCTTTTTGACCCCCCCCCCCTCCCCCCCCCGGCAGATAACTTCTCTGAATTCATCAATGTAAACTTTAAAATAACACTTTAAAAGTATTGTTAGGTCATCACTAATATGTTAGCTGATTGTGGCTTTATATTTATATTCATTTTCCAATGGGAATTAGTAGTTGTTTACTACTTTATATACCATGCTACATTTTGAAATTAAATCAATCGGAACTATTTCTGATTGAACACCTCCATTCAACAACTTGGTAATGAATGCATAATTGATAAAAAGGAAAGAAAGCATATGGAATAAATAAACAAGTGATATCAAAATAAAAACTTTTGGAAGATCATTTATACTCAAACTAGCAGACATAATTTCAGATGATAGAGAAGATAAACTACAAAATCATATGGCATTGCTACAGTACCCTCTACTAGGGCTACAGATTATATATTATTTAATTACATGCACTTTTCTCCAGTGTGACCGTCTTTTTTGGCCATCTGGAAGCAATTAATTCTGCACCTGTTGAAGGGACATTGTTTTCGTGCTGTAGCAACTTGACTTGGCGACAATATGTTTAAAGCTCCTTATGCAACCTGTCTGGTAAACATGTCATGTAGTTACTAGTAGAGATTCTCTTGGCTTTCACCTAAATTGGTAAATGTACATAATGTAATGAATCTTAGGTGCATTTCTGCATGAAGACCCCAGCTTTTAGTTTGTCAAATGATATGACAAGAGAAAAAAAAAGTTGCCAGCCAGACTTCAAATGCCTGTGCCCACATGGCTGCAGACTGCCCANTCATGTATCCCATCATGCCTTGACAATTAAGAAACCTCAAGTACACGTAGCTAACTGGTTTTATGCTAATTGGTAAAAATATTCTACATTGGACAAAGAAAATGGAAAGTGTTCCAGAATTTTGTATCATTGAGCTGATAGAAAAAAGTCTGTTTTCATTTGGCTAGTGTGATAATTCTCAATTCTATTGGCAGGTCCTGCTTTCACTTGTACCATCTTTGTGCTGTAATTCATAATCTGTTTTATGAAATGAAGTCTTTTAAACTAAATTCATAGCATACTGTGAAATTCGGAAGAAAATTTACTCTGCCTATTGGCTGCCTGCATTGGTGATTTTTTTCAAATGGTAATTTTTTTAAAAAAAGTGGAAAATATGAGAGCGGATGACAAAGTATAGTATAGTGTCTTTGGTATCTTTGGAAACCAGAACCTTAAGGAAACGCGTCTAACCGGCATTTCTTAGGGTAACTTGTACCATAAAATCAGCCCCTTCAAGAATCTCCAAAGACTAGTGCCTCCTTTGCCATACCATAGGTGTACCATAGTTATAGTGGGCTAGAAGTTGTATTTAAAGTGCTAACAAGCCATGGAATGTGATTGATCATCCTGCCAATCATACGGCTTTGGTGTTTCAATATGGATACATATGAGATAGTTTAAGATCTGTTCATACAAGGAAAATTTTAGATTGAAATTGGGGCTTATTATCTGAGATCATGCTGTCTGTGAAACAGGCATGGATGAAGTGGAGAACAGTTGTTCAGAGGAGAATCTCTTGAAGGTCACTGTTGGTCTAGACGTAATAAGTAATCTGACGTATTGGCAGCATTCACAATAGCAGACCTAGTAGCTAGTCTGCACATCAAATATGGCGAACCCTCTACAGTGCTTGTTGCATAATACCCACGGGAAATACATTTAGTGTTTATTAGGGGTTAAGATGGCAAGCTTTGAAATGGGTTGCCATATTTGATCCACAGACTAGTTAGTCTGCTGTTCTGCCTTACATGCCTCAGTTCATTTATTATATTATCATGTCAACATTAATTTTCATTAGTTAAATGCAAAAAGTTACTTTTTCATACTTTCTTATATGAATCAAACTGAAATTTCCAAACTTGTATTATTCCAAGTATTTTACTGACAAAACCTTGTGTTTGAAAGTAGAGATGATCTTATTGTTTTAATATACAGTAATAATTCAATCTTTTTATTGGGGTAAATTGTGAATTTTACAGATAGTGTAATTCATATATTATAGATTCTTAAATAGAATAGATTCTTAAAATTAGAACAAATTCTTATCTAGTGGTAGAAAAATAATCAAAAAACAGACAACCTTACATATTCATTTTCTGCATACTAGAAAAGCACCAAAAATGCTATTATAAAAGGTTGTTTTTAATAACTCTAAAATTATGAATCTGAAAAACTAAAATTTTCCCCATAGAAAAGATTGAGTCATTACGCTAAAACTTAAAAATGATATTTTGTCTGGTGGCCTTATCTTGACCAAAACTGGTCTGGGTATGATGTTACAGTATTAAAAAGAAATTAGTTTCTTGTCCCTATCTCATGCCTGGATCATCAAACCATAACAAGGCACCCTGTAAATATATATGATAACTAACAGACATTTATATCTTGGCCAAATCCTAAATGATTACATATATAGAATTAATATATATAAAACTATTAAGGATTTGGCCAAACTATACCATGGTCATAATACTATAGCGTGCCTGGTTATAAGGTATGTCCTGATTGAGGTATGAGATAGGTACAAGCAGTATCAGTGAATTATAGTGGTAGAGTACTTAAATGTCTTCAGTGGGATCAGTGTACCATTCTCCTCTATGGGACTTGTATTTATGTGACGTGTGGCATGTCCAATAGGTTATGCTGGATGGTGAGCTTGAGTGATGTATGGATTCTCTATGTGGATAGAAGTGTGACAGCGACGGAGTTGACTATTGGTGCTGCGCAGTAAAGGGCACTGGGGAAGACTGGTAGCTATACGTAGGCTCACTGGACATATTAAAGAACCTTGCTACTTTATGGTAGTAAATGAGTGAGTGTTACAGGTAGAAAAAGAGAGAGGAATAGAGAGAGAGCATATTTATTGAGGTACAAAGTCTTGTCATGAGGACAAATAATGACATTCTTAATATTTAATTATTTGTGTCAGTCATAATAAAAGACTCTTGTTGTGTTTCAGATTGTCTGCGATAGCGTGACAGAAAGTCATCTCTCTCAGTTGGAAGTAGTGCAGAACCAGGTAAGCTTCCTTAGCTGTTTACCTTATTAACTTCAACAGAATGCAACCTAGAGGAATGTCAGGTACAAATGAATAGCACTATGTATATTCATTCAAGTGCTAATTACATACAAGATGTTTTTGTGCTGTTTATTTGATAAGGTGCACTAATTGAAAACAAATCAAGCACAATTGAAATACAAACTCACCATTGTGTGTGGGAATCAAATCTTTTTGACACCCCCCTCCCCCTGGCAGATAACTTCTCTGAATTCATCAATGTAAACTTTAAAATAACACTTTAAAAGTATTGTAAGGTCGTCACTAATATGATAGCTGATTGTGGCTTTATATTAATATTCATTTTCCAATGGGAATTAGTAGTTGTTTACTACTTTATATACCATGCTACATTTTGAAATTAAATCAATTGGAACTATTTCTGATTGAACACCTCAATTCAACAACTTGATAATGAATGTATAATTGATAAAAAGAAAACAAGCGTGTGGAATAAATAATCAAGTGATATAAAAATAAAAACTTTTGGAAGATCATTTATACCCAAAGTAGCAGACATTATAATTTCAGATGATAGAGAAGATAAACTACAAAATCATATGGCATTGCTACAGTACCCTCTACTTGGGCTACAGATTAAATGTTATTTAATTACAGGGGTGGATCCAAAGATATTTTCTGACAGGCTTCCAAATTAACTTTGTTGATCCATCCTCCATTTTTGACTGTCTTCCGACAAAAAATAATTAGATACTCATAAATGTTAAACTTGAAAATCTGACTGTCTTCCAGAAGACCCAGAAGACGGCCTAAATCCGCCCCTGAATTACATGCACTTTTCTCCATTGTGACCATCTCTTTTGGCCATGTGGAACACTGGAATGCCTGGAATGCCTGTGCCCACATGGTTGCAGACTGGTTTGGTTTTTTAAAAGACAACAAAATAACAAACCAAAAAGGGTCGAAATGTTAGTATGTACTATATATCATTTTCAACTTGATAGTCTCGAAGTGGCATGGAAATATTGCACTTGCAAAAAATTGCGCCATTCCAGCATTTTGGAGAAAATTCTGAACAAAATGGCAGTCAATTCCCTGACTGCTGAGCATGAAAAATTGTATTTTTTTAAAATGCATTTTAAATATAGGGCTCTGACTTGCTAACAGATAGCAGGATCATATCACTGTGTCAAATGAGGTAAACAGATTAATTTGGAATATATGTATATATGTACAGACCAAGAGCACTATAATAATACCATCATCTATCAATGGAAATTTCTGACGCTAATGATGGAAAACATGCAGCAGAAACATATCATATCCTTATAGCAAAATATACTGGCAAAAATTATTGCCCCAGTTTACTTTGAACATTTGTCAATGCTGATGTATTTTCATTATTATTGTAAGCAAATGGGAAATAGCTGTGACACACTATGGTTGAGTTGATCATTATAGTGGTTTTGACGAAGATCCATTGCCATTAGTGTATCATTGCTCTCCAAACAAGTTCTTTTTATGTGCCATCAAGAACCCATCAATTATTGATAAATGTTGCATCACGTACATCCCTGTTTTGAAATTTCACCAGGATGCCATTTAACTCCAGACATGAGAAGGGTAAGTGATTTTTTTTTTTTTTTTTTTTTTTTTTTTGTAATACAAAAATAATATATAAAATCAGGAATCCTCTCTGTATTAAGTTCAGAGGAATCAACTTGGATAGATATCTTATTATAGTCTGAATGGAAGACTAGTAGCCTGCTAATATGGCTGCTCTATCTGGAACAATAATACTATCAACCTGGAAAACGTGCAGTTCACTGGCTGGTACCCTGGGCACTAAAAAGCTAGCTTGCTCACTATACCTTTTCAGGTGTTAGCTTTACAGTGCCCCTGAAGAATAGGGACAATTTTGATTATCCATCAATGAAAGATACTGCTCCGTAGTGAATCTGCAGTTGAATGTCATTAGTCCAAAATTAATAGTAAAACAGATTTAATTTTGCTTTAATGAATTTTATTTACTGTATTTAAGATATTAATTGAAAAATTGATTATTTATTAAAAAAGCATTCCATGTGTTTTCGTATTTTATTGCTTATCAAAAAACATTCGTTCCTGAGATTTTATCTCGTCTGTACAAGATGACGGCAGCTCAAGGCAGGACAGAGCTGTGACAGAGCTGTACAAGACATGTGACTCCAAAATATGGAAGCACCCCAGGCAGTATGCCGGTGGTGGCTAGAGTTGGTATTGCTGATGTGGGTTATATATGAAATCAAGATCAAGCTAGAACCTAGGATACTAGCTGGAGGCCTCTTAGCCTGGCTAAAAGACAATTGGCTTGAATAGAAGACAGCTAACCTAGATGGACTACTTTCAAGTTGACAGAATGGCTGTCAGCATGAACCAATTGCAAACACTGTCAGTCTAGATACAAAGCTGTCAGTCGGTGTGGTTTACTGTCAACAGTTGCCTAGTTTCCCTGCGTCATCAACTAACCGCCAATCAATTCTTTATGTTTAAAAGATGCCACAGCAATCCAGTTAGTGGCATATTAGAACAGCAGTCTCCAGGGAATACCAGCAACAAGATATATATATTGTATAATATTACAGGAAAGATGTATAATTTAATAGGTTGCACACACTGTGGTAAAAAGAGCTAGCATAGGCAACAATACATTAGCTTTTATACTTTTAAAAGCCAGCAGCACTGAATTTATCATACCTTCTGGTTCCATTTAGTAATTGTGCATTGAGGGCCACTTGTCCCTCACTGTCAACTTGGGAAATAAGTATGAACTAAATGCTGCATTTTGTCTCTCCACATGCAATCATGATGCATTAACACAGCTGGATTGTTCATTGAAGGGAAGGTGAGCAAGAAGGTTCTGAAACTGCTCATGCAGACACCAAGGGGACAAGCAGAAAAGCCTGATAAGTGAGAAAAAAGACTGGAGATAATCCCTGACTGGTTTAGACCCTTTTTTACTTCAAAGAAGACATTTACAACAGATGATCCTTGGGTCTACAGATCTGCTGATCAAATATGGTGGACCCTACATGAAAGAAGAGCCAACTTATGGGCTGATGATCTCCCCACCTCCGCACGCACCATTTAATTGGATTAAGTCAGGTTTAATTGCTAGATCCCTACAAGGACAGCAGGTGTGGAGGCAAGGAGACCATCAGTGGATTAGTCAGCTCTTCTTTCATATAGGGTCTGCCATATTTGATCCGCGGATCTGTAGGTCCAAGGATCATCTGTTGTGAACGTCCTCATACTAAACCTGTATCCATAGGGAAAACATGTGGACATACTTAACAAAGGCTAAAAAATTGATAAGTTTTTGATTGACCCTTTTTATGGAGACTGTATGCGATCAATTTGCCAAGCTCTCACATGTGCACATGCATGACTGCAAGGATGCACACATGCGTGCACACACACCTACACACACTGGTTTTCATATTCAAAGAGAAGGGACTTGAATCGGGAATGAGATTTTTCCAACTAAACGCAGATTTCAGACTTTTTGGGAGCCAAAATTATAAGGGGCTTAGGCAGCCCGCTGGACACCATGTCATATATCCTGACTATTTCACTAAAAGGGAGTCTCATTCTTGATGAATATCCTGCTCATCAGAATGTCTCAAATTTTTTGTTTTGCTATTGCAGATAGCGGCCTGCCACTACCGCCTGAAGCAGAGTCCATACAGGGCCACTGATATGCCGAGACCCATGTATAAAGAGAACTCCCAGGAGAAGAGCAGTGAGGCTATCCTTCAATTATGCGGTAAGAAAATGGTCAGTTTTTAGGAAAAATATGTTTTGGGTGGGATTGGGGAGGGGAGGAGAGCTAGAATTCCCTTACCCTTAACTAATAAGTGGCGAGCAGTTCAGCATCAGTAACATTGAAAAAAAAATGTTGAAAGGAACTGCACAAACTTACTCAAGGATGAAAATTACAAATAGGCTCAAATTGCAGACTCTGGTGGGGGGCATAAGGGTTGGTTACCCTGGTCAATCGGGATTTCCTATGAGAAGAACTTTGGATTTGTCCATACTTGTATGCTACTGTTAGACTCACACTGTTATGGTACATATAATACTAATAGTTCATATATGTAAGGGCAATGATGAAAATGTGACTTAACACTTATTGGCTTCTGTTGCACAAGATGGTGGTGTCTTGAAACTCTGTGTCCACTCTTAGAACTTGACAAAAACATTGCATGTAACAACTATAAGAAGGGATATTGAGCTCACTGTATTGATACACGCTAACTTTGTACAAGGTGCCAATGAAATGGCTCTGTAGTACTTTTCCATCAGATCAATGGTCTGTCATTTCTGTTGCCTTTTCCTGGTGGCTTTCTATTATCAGAGCATGGTTATCAATCAAAGTCACAGCCATCAGTTGGTTGCATATGGCCTAGATCCTTTCGCCAGGTTGATTGTAAAATGTTCCCTTATGAAATACTCTCATATTTGTGGTTGTATTTTTGACCTTTTATTTTCATAAGCTATGTGGTTGAGTAAAATGGATCATTTTTCGAAAGTGAATTTTTTCCCCAAAGTTGTTGACATTTTCCCTTTCTCACACACTTCATTAACTTTCTCACACATTTCAGTACTTCTTTGTTTCATCCATCTCATTTATCCCAATGATGTATATCTGTATATGTTTATTTTATACTAATTTCAGCTGAACTGTATGACCAAGATGCTGCTTCCCTACAAGTAAAGGTGATCAAATATGTAAGTATGAATCATTAGGAATTATGCCAAAATTTCTCTCTCTTTCCACACTATGCCATTTATGAAATACATGCATACCATTGCCAAATCTACATTGTATTATCAAAGCAACCTAGTACTGCTTCAGTCACTTACTAACAAAGAAATACTTGATGAATACTAGATGAATACTAACAAAGTAATACTAAATTATTAAAAATCACTAAACAGTTTTTTTAATGAACCATTATTGTATGGGAACTGTACACAAAAACATAATTTAAACATTCCTTTACTGGCATTCACCATTCAGTGTTGTCTGTCTTTCCTGTGACCTTTAAAACACGTCTTCATACTCTACCTTATCTTCAATTACCAGACATTATGCACTTAAATTGAAACAGACTTAATTTCCCAAGCAACATTACCACTGAGGATGGTTTACTTCAGGGCAACTGAGGACATGCATTGAGCATGAAGATAATTTTTTTTCTTCTCCTGAAGGTACAATTTTTCAGATTTAAGACATAAAAAATCATTCCAGCTGTTTTCCTGGGGTCCTCCTTAATTTCATAGAGCTTATCATCTACTAACCTAGTGCTCTTCATACCCTATCCTGCATGGTAGAATAATAGACTTGGCCACTGAAATGCGTTTTTGAGCAGTTGTCAGTGTTTTTTTCCTATAAACCATGCAGCATGCCTCTCAGGAACAAGTGAGATTTAGCTCTTTGGAAAACAAAGAAATATCCAATAGTGATCATTTTGTAAAATGTCCCTTCAGGTCTTCATAGAGTTTGTCTTAAAAAAAAAACTTGAAAGCGTCATTTTGGCAAGGGTCTGTTGGGATTGCCTGAAATCACCTTGAACACAAAACCCTGTCAAGGAGTTAATTACTAACTTACAGCTAAGGCTAAGGTGTACCACTGGGCTCTTGGACAAATTGGCAAGCGGTTCTCCTTGATCTTAATTTTTTTAAGTTGCATGCAGGGGCGGATTGAGGCTGTCTTCTGGGTCTTCCGGAAGATGGTATTTCTAAGTTTACATTGATGAGTACCTAATTTTTTTCTGTCCGAGGATGGTCAAAAAATGGAGGATGGATCAACAAAGATAATGTGGAAGACTGTCAGAAAATATCTCTGGATCCGCCCCTGGCATGGGTTAGCGAATCATCATATCAAAACTCTCTAATTCAATAAGTGGAGAGACAGACATTTAATGCACTAGACGTGAATGGTGTTTTTGTGTGCCCATCAGCCCATTGTCATGATAGTAACTTTTGNGCTTGCCGCAAGCTTGCAATAGCAATGAATTGCAAGCTTGCCATTTTTGTTTGGGTGGTCTGGTTTTTTGAAAGACAACAAAATAACAAACCAAAAAGGGTCGAAATGTTAGTATGTACTATATATCATTTTCAACTTGAAAGTTTTGAAGTGGCATGGAAATAACTGTACTTGCAAAAAATTGCACCATGCCAGCATTTTGGAGGAAATTCTCTCTGAACAAAATGGCAGTCAATTCCCTGGAATGCTGAGCATGAAACAGTGTATTTTTTTAAATACAGATATAGGGCTGTGACTCTCTAACAGATAGCAGGACCATATCACTGTGTCAAACGAGGTAAACTAATTTGGAATATATGTATATATGTACAGACCAAGAGCACTATAATAGTACCATCATCTATCAATGGAAATTTCTGACGCTAATGATGGAAAACATGCAGTAGAAACATATCATATCCTAAAAGCAAAATATACTGGCAAAAATGATTGCCCCAGTTTACTTTGAACATTTGTCAATGCTGATGTATTTTCATTATTATTGTAAGCAAATGGGAAATAGCTGTGACACACTATGGTTGAGTTGATCATTATAGCGGTTTTGACGAAGATCCATTGCCATTAGTGTATCATTGCTCTCTACACAAGTTCTTTTTATGTGCCATCAAGAACCCATCAATTATTGATAAATGTTGGCATCACGTACATCCCTGTTTTGAAATTTCACCAGGATGCCATTTAACTCCAGACATGAGAAGGGTAAGTGATTTTTTTTTTTTTTTTTTTTTTTTTTTTTTTTTTTTTTTTGTAATGCAAAAATAATAAATAAAATCAGGAATCCTCTATGTATAAAGTTTAGAGGAATCAACTTGGATAGATATCTTATAGTCTGAATGGAAGACTAGTAGCCTGCTAATATGGCTGCTCTATCTGGAACAATAATACTATCAACCTGGAAAACGTGCAGTTCACTGGCTGGTACCCTGAGTGTCAGGGCACTAAAAAGCCAGCTTGCTCACTATACCTTTTCAGGTGTTAGCTGTACAGTGCACCTGAAGAATAGGGACAATTTTGATTATCCATCAATGAAAGATACTGCTCTGCAGTGAATCTGCAGTTGAATGTCATTTTTAGTCCAAAATTAATAGAAAAACGGATTTAATTTTGCTTTAATGAATTTTATTTACTGTATTTAAGACGTCAATTGAAAAATTGATTATTTATTTAAAAAATATTCCATATGTTTTTGTATTTTATTGCTTATCAAAAAACATTTGTTCCTGAAGATATAAACACAACAATACATGTGCTTGCCATGTGCCAAGTTTGATGGCTCAGCTATGGCTGATACCACTATAAGGAGTGCGCAATGACTACACCAAAAAATCAGTTTTAAAGCAGAAAGGCGCTTGTGTTGTGGCACTGATTTCTGATTGCAAGGTACTCTTAGTTAGAACTACAACTTCCGAGTCGGTCACTTTGTTTTTTATCTCGTCTGCACGAGATGACGGCAGCTCAAGGCAAGACAGAGCTGTGACAGAACTGTACAAGACATGTGACTCCAAAATATTGAAGCACCTAGGCAGTATGCGGGTGGTGGCTAGAGTTGGTATTGCTGATGTGTTTTACATATGAAATCAAGATCGAGTTGGAAATACCAAAATCTAGAACCTAGGATACTAGCTGGAGGCCTCTTAGCCTGGCTAAAAGACAATTGGCTTGAATAGAAGACAGCTAACCTAGATGTACTACTTTCAAGTTGACAGAATGGCTGTCAGCATGAACCAAACGCTGTCAGTCTAGATACAATGCTGTCAGTCTGTGTGGTTTACTGTCAACAGTTGCCTAGTTTCCCTGCGTCATCAACTAACCGCCAATCAATTCTTTATGTTTAAAAGATGCCACAGCAATCCAGTTAGTGGCATATTAGAACAGCAGTCTCCAGGGAATACCAGCGACAAGATATATATATTGTATAATATTACAGGAAAGATGTATAATTTAATAGGTTGCACACACTGTGGTAAAAAGAGCTAGCACAGGCATCAATACATTAGCGTTTATACTTTTAAAAGCCAGCAGCACTGAAATTATCATGCCTTCTGGTTCCATTTAGTAATTGTGCATTGAGGGCCACTTGTTCCTCACTGTCAACTTGGGAAATAAGTATGAACTAAATACTGCATTTTGTCTCTCCGCATGCAATCATGATGCATTAACACAGCTGGATTGTTCATTGAAGGGTAGGTGAACAAGAAGGTTCTGAAACTGTTCATGCAGACACCAAGGGGACAAGCAGAAAAGCCTGATAAGAGAGAAAAAAGACTGGAGATAATCCCTGACTGGTTTAGACCCTTTTTCATTTTAAAGAGGACATTTACAACAGATGATCCTTGGATCTACAGATCCGCTGATCAAATATGACAGATCCTACATGAAAGAAGAACTGACTAATGTGCTGATGGTCCCCCCTCCTCCCTCCATGGCTCTCGAGACTTAATTGTTAGATCCCTGCAAGAATGGCATGTGTGGAGGTAGGGAGACCATCAGTGGATATAGGGTCTGCCATATTTGATCCGCGGATCTGTAGGTCCAAGGATCATCTGTTGTGAACATCCTCAAACTGAACTTGTATCCATGGGGAAAACATGTGGACATACTTAACAAAGGCTATAAACTTGTTAAGTTTTTGATTGAGATCAATTTGCCAAGCTCTCACATGTGCACATGCATGACTGCAAGGATGCACACATGAATGCACACACACCTACACACACTGGTTTTCATATTCAAAGAGAAGGGACTTGAATCGGGAATGAGATTTTTCCAACTAATGGCAGGTTTCAGACTTTTTGGGAGCCAAAATTATCAGGGGCTTAGGCAGCCCGCTGGACCCCATGTCATATATCCTGTCTATTTCACTAAAAGTGAGTCTCATTCTTGATGAATACCCTGCTCATCAGAATGTCTCAAATTTTTTGTTTTGCTTTTGCAGATAGCGGCCTGCCACTACCGCCTGAAGCAGAGTCCATACAGGGCCACTGATATGCCGAGACCCATGTATAAAGAGAACTCCCAGGAGAAGAGCAGTGAGGCTATCCTTCAATTATGCGGTAAGAAAATGGTCAGTTTTTAGGAAAAATATGGACTTCCTATGAGAAGAACTTTGGATTTGTCCATACTTGTATGCTACTGTTAGACTCACACTGTTATGGTTCATATAATACTAATAGTTCATATATGTAAGGGCAATGATGAAAATATGACTTAACACTTATTGGCTTCTGTTGCACAAAATGGTGGCGTCTTGAAACTCTGTGTCCACTCTTAGAACTTGACAAAAACATTGCATGTAACAACTATAAGAAGGGATATTGAGCTCACTGTATTGATACACACTAACTTTGTACAAGGTGCCAATGAAATGGCTCTGTAGTACTTTTCCATCAGATCAATGGTCTGTCATTTCTGTTGCCTTTTCCTGGTGGCTTTCTGTTATCAGAGCATGGTTATCAATCATAGTCGCAGCCATCAGTTGGTTGCATATGGCCTAGATCCTGTCGCCAGGTTGATTGTAAAATGTTCCCTTATGAAATGCTCTCATATTTGTGGTTGTATTTTTGACCTTTTATTTTCATAAGCTATGTGGTTGAGTAAAATTGATCATTTTTCGAAAGTGAATTTTTTCCCCAAAGTTGTTGACATTTTCCCTTTCTCACACACTTCATTAACTTTCTCACACATTTCAGTACTTCTTTGTTTCATCCATCTCATTTATCCCAATGATGTATATCTGTATATGTTTATTTTATACTTATTTCAGCTGAACTGTATGACCAAGATGCTGCTTCCCTACAAGTAAAGGTGATCAAATATGTAAGTATGAATCATTAGGAATTATGCCAAAATTTCTCTCTCTCTCCACACTATGCCATTTATGAAATACATGCATATCATTGCCAAATCTACATTGTATTATCAAAGCAACCTAGTACTGCTTCAGTCACTTACTAACAAAGAAATACTTGATGAATACTAGATGAATACTAACAAAGTAATACTAAATTATTAAAAATCACTAAACAGTTTTTTTAATGAACCATTATTGTATGGGAACTGTACACAAAAACATAATTTAAACATTCCTTTACTGGCATTCACCATTCAGTGTTGTCTGTCTTTCCTGTGACCTTTAAAACACGTCTTCATACTCTACCTTATCTTCAATTACCAGACATTATGCACTTAAATTGAAACAGACTTAATTTCCCAAGCAACATTACCACTGAGGATGGTTTACTTCAGGGCAACTGAGGGCATGCATTGAGCATGAAGATAATTTTTTTTCTTCTCCTGAAGGTACAATTTTTCAGATTTAAGACATAAAAAATCATTCCAGCTGTTTTTCTGGGGTCCTCCTTAATTTCATAGAGCTTATCATCTACTAACCTAGTGCTCTTCATACCCTATCCTGCATGGTAGAATAATAGACTTGGCCACTGAAATGCGTTTTTGAGCAGTTGTCAGTGTTTTTTTCCTATAAACCATGCAGCATGCCTCTCAGGAACAAGTGAGATTTAGCTCTTTGGAAAACAAAAAAATATCCAATAGTGATCATTTTGTAAAATGTCCCTTCAGGTCTTCATAGAGTTTGTCATAAAAAAAACTTGAAAGCGTCATTTTGGCAAGGGTCTGTTGGGATTGCCTGAAATCACCTTGAACACAAAACCCTGTCAAGGAGTTAATTACTAACTTACAGCTAAGGCCAAGGTGTACCACTGGGCTCTTGGACAAATTGGCAAGTGGTTCTCCTTGATCTTAATTTTTTTAAGTTGCATGCAGGGGCGGATTGAGGCTGTCTTCTGGGTCTTCCGGAAGATGGTGTTTCTAAGTTTACATTGATGAGTACCTAATTTTTTTCTGTCCTAGGATGGTCAAAAAATGGAGGATGGATCAACAAAGATAATGTGGAAGACTGTCAGAAAATATCTCTGGATCCGCCCCTGGCATGGGTTAGCGAATCATCATATCAAAACTCTCTAATTCAATAAGTGGAGAGACAGACACTTAATGCACTAGACGTGAATGGTGTTTTTGTGTGCCCATCAGCCCATTGTCATGATAGTAATTTTTGTTCTATACCATTCTATTTTTTTTTTTTTTTTGGTGTGTGTGTAAGGGTTATTAATCACATTCAGTGATATTTCTAGCTCTTAGTAACAAAAGATGGTACTATTGGGACACAAGGTTAGTGATAATCCTTAAATTAATTTCCTTCCAATTTCAGTTCCTCTTCTGCTTGGATGCTCTGTCTTACAAATTAAATGAAGTGAACATACAATGTGTGATTTGATGGTGTTAAATGTGCAGCACAAATGTTCTGATTACTGATTGTTATTTGGTTATGATTGCTGGCGATCTCGTGATATGATACATGTATAAGCAGTTCAGCTGCCATTAGCAATCCAACCACAAATAGATTGCTGTTATAGACTGCCAACACCAATACATTTCAGACTGGTTTGTAGTCTACAATGCCAAAAGCAGCCCAACTTCAGATTCTTGAAACAAATTCAACAATGAAATTGAATTTTGATTTTGTTCATTTTCAGCTCCAACAGCAGACGGATGCAGAGAGTGGATTTTTGGTGTTAGTGTCATCAGACAATACACAGTTGTTCTGCCAGGTAATCAACTATAGGCGGCAGCACAATGTTTTACATTGTAACATCACACATAGTGCTTAATATTTAGGGACATAAAATCAACTGGATATCCCTTGATGCTTGTTGAAGATCCTGTCTTGTCCTTTGAAGTAAGATGTATTACTCAGTAAATAAATGCACATGCAAGAATTCAAAAAAGAAAAAAAAAACCTTGGAAGCTATTGCATACATGCACAATATACCCCTGCACTTGTTGAAATGGTAACTTGTGTGCATATTTAGAAAGGCTTTTCTAGTAGAAAAAAAACTTAAATCGTTAATACCATGTCACAGAAAGCCCTGATTGGAATTTGAAAAATGGTTTCAGTTATCAAAATGTAAAAGACTGCTATTAAGCATAATATAGAATGCACATGGCATAGGCATTTGTTCAGCTGACTCCTCTGTTATAACATTTTAATTTAAATGGTATTATGTCAAATTAAAAAAAAATTGATGATAAATGCTTTTAAAAAATTATGTGGATTAAAGTCCAGAGTACTGTTGCCAATTTTGACGGATACTGTCTTATGGATTCAGAAGGTAAAAGGGCTATTTTATAATAAATACTCTGGGATAAACTAATGCTGTAATTGTTGCATCTGTTGAATGACAGAAAATGTACTTGAAAAGAAACTAGTGAAAAAAGTGACTGATTTTAAAATATTGATATTGGTTCAAAACTGTAATAGGCAGTTGTTGTAGCACCTTTGATAATTCACAGACTAGATATATCAAGTAGCCAAATGCACACGTACCTTTGCAGGTTGTTGGTGGACATGTTCTAGAAGAAGAAATTAAATTTCCGGTAAGAAATGATTTGAACTGTACACTCTATGATATTTTGACACTTAATGATAATTTTTAAGTTATTCATTTGATAATGAACATATTCATGTAATATTTTATAGGATTTAATTTTAATATGTATTAAAATACATTTTAATGGTACTTAATTATGATTGATTTTAAATATTCTACTTTGCATGTCATTTTTTTCATATTTTTAAATAGCTGTTGTTTTCATAATTAACCTTACTTAATTGCAGTATTAATATTTTTATAGTAGACAGCAATAACTTTGAAAGCGTTATTGGAAAATTTGCATAATTTTGATACATTTTATAAAATGTTGTTCATCCATTCCCTTTTGATCTATTTTAACCTTGTGTCTGCTGCCCAACTACATGTATTGTCCCGTGCATGTCCATTTTACATCTTCATCTGTTTACATGCTTAAGCAGCATTTTAAAGATAAATGTTGCTTTTTTATAGCAATAAATGAAGATAGTGTGTAGTTAATCAATCCAGAAGTGTTTTGCTTTCAAACAAGATTTAAAGAATTATCAGGTTAATTTAGTTTTTTTTTTTTCCATATATTGAAAAAGATAATGTTACAATATGGATTGTTAAAAGTTGAAGAGCATATTTCCTTTTTTTCTAGAGTGCACAGAGAAAATTAGGTTCGCACAGCACTGTCTATAATATACATAATGCCTTCTGTGTATACTGATGTCCCAGCTGTTCAATTTCACAACTTATCAAGCACAGATGAAAACAATTTTTATAGAAATTGAAAAGCTGAAAGTATGTTTAACGAAGACAAAAGAAAAAAATTAACATCATTCTCAACAATGCCTTATGCTTTTACAACATGTATATTTTAACTTTGAAACTTATGTGATTATACATATAGGTCCAAGTAGGAGATCTTTTCACTGGTAAATTATCACCTTTTTATGGCAAATACATATAGCATATGCATTTTACAAAATAACATGCATACTACATGTAGATGGGCTATTGAATCACTAAAACTGCTGTTAAACCATTTGTATACCCCCTAATCCCCTAATTTTATATCCATGTTCACCAAGCGCATGTTATTTTTGCTTGCAATCCATTTTTATTAGTGCTTTTCATTGCTTTCTGTAAATAATTTTTATAAAGTTATTATTATTATTATTTTTTTTTTTTTGAGGGGGGGAAGAGGCTTGACAGTTCATGAGATTTAATTGTTGTAAGGCAAAAATTATTACTTATAAAAGGGAGGGGTAACAGTATAGCAGAACTAGGCTTATGTTGGCTTATGTGTTTTTTTTTGCTAGTGGACAGATAATTGTTTTGACAAAAAAGGTTTTAAAATTCAACAACATTGTCATTGGTGTGGTACCATGTGCTTTCAGTACAGTGCCTACCAAAGACCATTCACAGTTCCTATTCAAAGAGCTTATTGTGATGATGTCTTCATTTGTAATTTTTTTTTTTTATAATGCGTGAAAATTCTTAGGAATCTGCTAGATTTTATGTATACATACATGCGCTGCAAGTGTTGACCATGCTTCAAAGCCAGAACTACTTATTCTAGGCGGGCATTGAGGCTTTATTTAAAGACCCACTCTTAGGCAAGCAACCTTTGTACCTCAAGACCTCGGAGCAGGTAGGAAAGGCAGCACAACTAACACCTGTACCATGTGCTTTATGCACTGGCTGTCAACTGGGCTTAACCTTAGCTTATCTGGTTCCCTTCTGATGCTTTAAAGACCTATAGCTTGTAAGGCAATGTTCTAAAAATCAAAGCTTTTTGCAGTGATTGAACTTTAATTTGCTGATGTGAAATTAATGAATCTTTTTTTGGCTGCATTTATTCATTTTGGATTACAAAGAAATTGTGTCTGATATTTATAACTTTTCACAACTTGTTACCAGTCGAAATACACTGGCTGCTTGCAGTCTGTTTTGGTACAGCATTTGTTTCTTAACATGGTCACCACTTTTTTTACTGCAAACTGCAACCATTTCAGTTGCTGTAATAATGCATAAATGTAAGTTCATAGTTTGATATGGCAATCATTTTCTAATTAGCAGTTGTGACTTAGAGCATGAACCTGATTTTCTGAAAATTTGATGAAAAAAAAAAATTATTACTGGAGGCAAAAGTTGATGACTGCAAAATGATTTGAGGATAGTGGGCTGCTTACATTCAGTTTATTGAAATGGCTAAACTGCATGGAGGGTTTCATCTTTATTTGCCAGTTATATTAGCCTGCTATAAAGACATACCTAGCTTGACCTGCTTCCTTGCTCTATATGCTCTGGCAATATTTCTGAGACACATAATGTGATCCTTATATCAGAACTACATGAGTGGTATCGCTGAATTGATACAGGACAGAGATAATGCTTCAATTGGCAAAAGAAACTACTTCTGAAATGCTCAGTTGATAATTAACACTTGGTAATTGGCATTGCGCATTAAATAGACCTTTCAATGAGAAAAAGATTTAATTTCTTGGCATTAATCGATTGTGGTAATCACAAGAAACTTTGCTTGTGTGTGTCAGAAATTAAGAACAGAGCTAGTAATAATTGCTTTGGCAAATTATTTGTTGGAATTTTGTTTTGTAAAGTGCAGGTAAGTAGTACATTTTGAAGCCTGCATTTTTTAGCCTAAATTCCTTTTATTTTTGACTCGGGGTTATTAGTATTATGGCTTGAAGAAGTCATTATATAACATGCAATTTGATCACTTTTTTTTTTTCAAAAAACCTCACTTTAAATTTCATCTTAATGTTTTCTGTATCAAAACTTGACATGCTTCTCTAAAAAATTATTTAAAAGAGTACGAAGATTTAAATGACATAGAAAAGGTGATTCATAAATCAACATATTTTGTCTCCAATACACCAAAAAATGGCACAGGTGCCATAAGATTGGTGTGCTAACCCTTTGTCTTCTTAATAAACTTAATGACTTTGTAGAAAATTGATAATATGATATTTATCAGATAAACACTTGGTGTGATTTCTACTTGTCTCTGTATCTTTATTCTTTCTAACATAACCACTCCCTTTAATAGAATTTTAACAGTCGTTTTGAAGTGTTTTTTCATGCTTTCAAAATATGTGCCATATTTATCCAGCAATAGTGATTTCTATCTGTTATTCTTCCATGTTCTTAGGGATATGTTGCGTAATTTGGTTATTCAGTGACCAGTAAAGTAATTGAAATGTTTAAACTGAGTGAAAAATGTTTTGATTGAATTTAAATACACCGATTTTGAAAATGTGTAATAGTTTCTCAAAACCTATAGATTCCAAAATGATATATTTTAATGAACTCTCAAAAGTTGCCTATTTTTGCTCTTCCAAAGTCAGAGGGCAGATATTTATCCCTAAGACCATGGTTCAGCTGCATATTTGAAAGGTATATTTACATATGGCATGTTTTTCTAATACAGCAGCCTGGTGATGAAGTGTTCTGTGTGAACATATTCATTTAATTCTGTGAATACACATGTCATTGCTCATCTAGATTGTCTTTCAGCACTCCTACATCACCTTGTTTTCAGCAATGCATTTTTTTTTATTTCCTACTTCTTAGGATATGTGGTTATTCTGTGTTTTAGGCTGATGAAAATGTGTTTTTGTACACTACCAAGACTGTGACACATGATGACTTGAATAGAGTAAGACACCATCCTGTATGACTGATTAATCCTTTACCATCCCACACTGAACTGATCTAGATGCATTTCATCTTCCAAATGGCATGCTCAAACAATCAGTAGTAGTGGGGACAGATTGAAAAACTGTTTTATGGTACATGGATCAGTAATGCATGCAACATTTTTATAAGATTATAATAGTCTTGTTAAGTTTAAACAGTTTGTTTAACTTACTATATTCCGAAGCATTGGAAATCATTATAAAGTTGACCATCTCCGCTTTTAAAATTAAAAAGTATTTTGTGTGCAAAGTGATTTCAATTTTCATCTGACATGAAGATCCATGTGCCATAAAATTGATATTTTGCCAGAAAAATGTTGGGACTTGCCAATTATCCTCCAGCAGTCCCATTCCATTGTTTTTTAGTATTTTGTTTTGTGTGTCAATATATCTAAATTACACGTTATATTTGTTGTAAACAATTTTGTTGTACCACTAAAAGTAAGTCTTAAAGTTCTTTAAATTAGCCTAGTAATATGCTTATTCCTTGTGATGTGAGGTAGATATGAAGGATATTGTGGCATGTACCGTCTTTCAGAAACAACTTTCTATTATGTTGTACTGGCTCTGGTTCTTTGTATTACTGATTGAGATAGATTATGGGTAGTTTTGTCTTTTGACCAAGATTTTAATACTTTAAGATATTTGTACACATTTTGCACATGTTTGTGTGGTGCTATGGCATGCAGTGTAACACTTTTTCAGTTTTAGTATTGTTGGTTTGTAAGATAAAACTGAGACAACTGTACTTTATACATAGTAACACAACCCAGCTTAAATGCTTAGCCTGCAAATTCAATTGTCAACGATAGCAGTGACATTTTCATTTGATTTGTATGCACCATAGTTAAGTCTCAGTTTCATGTTTTTTTATTTTAACTCTAGTAGTGGTGGGTGTAACTTGAATATTTGATATGCATGGGAATGAATGTACACAAATACCTATAATGTTCAGGGAAAACTTTGTAAGAGATGACCATGAAGGCAATATTATCATATCAAGTGTGTCTCATCATTTAACCTGTTATAATTTTTTTTTAATTTTTATTTATATTTTTAAACTTTTATCAGAATTATAAATTCTATGAAATTTGATTTATGTACATTGAAAATGCAAAAATGCATTTTTATACCTTTTTTCTGATGGTTTTTGCTGCATCAAAGAACTGATTTTGAAAAAACTAATTCCAAAAATTTAACTGCTTTTTAACTTACTAGAATGAGATACATACATGAGATAGTAAAGATCCAAAAAGAGAAGACATGATGTAATTCCAAATGGCCTCATATGCAGCATTTTTATATACAGACACTGAATGTCTGACACATTTATTATTCTGTTTGCTGAATCATCACTGTTGCTGTCTGACACCTTTGTTGTTTAACCTATAACTGCCAAATTGTATTTTTGATTTACTTTATATTTAATGATTGTCTTTGTTTGGTTGAAAATGTTCCTTTTGAAATTATAAACATGATTAGTATTATGTTTTCCGTGGTTTCCATAATATGGAAGGTACATAAAGGGTAGCCTGTATCTGTATGCTTTTTGTCTGTATTAAAGGGTGCATTAAAGTTGCCCCCTACCCTCTTCCATACCCAAACAAATAAATAACATAAAATTTGATCAACTATGCTGTCTTTACCTTGGGTATCAGTTGAGAGTTGAAAATTTTGGTGATAGAAGACTGTATTGGCACAGGACAAATGAAGATTGGACAGCATAGACCTTGAGCATTGGCACTAAACATTGTTGATAAAGCAACATCAAAGTACAGTATTTATAGTTCATACATGTATAGCACAAAAGTATATCTCCAATTATGTCTACCTAAAGTGTACATGTACAATCAAATTGATCTTTTAATATGGTAAAACCGTAATGGTGACTTATCTCATTTTTATTCATCACATCAGACCTGATTATTATGCAAAGTTGGACTCTGTTGATCCTTGAGACATGCCCGGTCGTAACTTGGAAATTACTTTGTATTGATTATACTGTCATTAAGAAGATAAATAAGCCCCCTGCAATAATTGAAAACTGAGCTTTAAACCATGGTTCATCTGATTTCTTTATATCTTGGCATCAAAAGGAGGTAGGCCTATTGGACTGTCAATTGTAAATTTAATGCATACCAATAGTAATTCCTCATTTGATACTATGTATATTTTGTCAGTTAACTGAGAATTGATGACCTACAGAAAAATCAATGTTAAGGTAGTAAAATCTTATACAGATCTGTTTAAAACCGTTTGGATGCATAGTACCAGTAAAATAGAAGACTAATCACTGTCACGTGCATGTGTATTTTTAATTCCTTATTAACAAGATAGTGATTGGAATTTTAAGATATGATAAAACAACTGAATTAAAAAAAAAAAGTATATAATATGAATGTATAAATGCTTGTAAGTGAGCATATTTTTGTTTGAGTGTTCTGTCATGTATTTGGGTATGTAAGTTAATTTTTTTTTTCTGCTTTAAGTTATGTAGACCAGTTTGCCCTAAATTATATAAAGTTGAACGTATAGATACTATTTGATATCACTTGACACATATGACACATTAAAACTGAACAAAATGTGTGTCACTGTACAATATAATGTTTAGTGTGTTGTGGTATTGACATTTTGCATGTGATGTCACTCACTCCCTCACATATAAATATCTGCCTAGATTGCCTTAGTTGGACAGCAATGATGACTTATAGTCATTTGGGAGATAGCAACTTGGCGTTCTGACGATATTTTGACTAACACCTTTTCAAAAGGTGCCAGAATTTTTTGTTAGAGTATGGATTTTAACTTACTCGTTCATACAGAACTGAGTGCATTTTGAAGGGGTGACAATACAAAAATGTACTTAACACCCACAGCTGAGTGTCTCACTGTCTGGTTTTAGTCTGTCTGAAAGTGAGGATGTGTGACCTCTGTGGAAATTGTCTGTATCAGTGTCCGATGACACTTTTTAATGTAAAATACTGTAACATTCTTTTTACATGATATATTGACAACTTGTCTGTCAGCTGTTGAATATGACATAAAATTGTTCCACGTGCCATAATGCAAATTTATTGACTTGATACATTTTGATCATTTAATCCATATTTTAATGTAAAACCAAATGCAGGAAAGACTTTTCATATTTGAAGTAGAGACATAGAGCATTAAATCAAGATACATTACAATATGATATGATGAAGGTTTTTTTCTTTATGGATATAGGATCAGTTTGATGAGCTGTGTAGGTTCCTCCACCTAGACATCAAATCTTTACTGGGAGTTCCCGTGATCTCCAGGGTGACAGGCAATGTGGTGGCCATAGCATGTGTGGTTAATAAGATAGGCCACGACAGGTGAGAATGGACATTAATAATGACAGTGTGTGTGTGTGTGTGTATGTGTGTGTGTGTGTGTGTGTGTGTTTAATTTAAATATGAGGGGCTGTCAGAAAGTTATGAACCTCACACATTTTTCCAGTTTGATTGTAAACTGCACCATACCTGATATATGCCTAAATATCTTGCTCTTTCTGTATGAGGCTAAAATCCATTTGACATCCCCTTAAAGCTTGTACAATACAACTAAATATATTGGTCAACAGCTGAACTATTGACATGAAGAGGTTAACAACTAACAGCTGATCTAATTTTACATCTATTAAGCTATTATGACATATCAGGACCTTGTCTTCTTGCCTCATGCACAATAGATATTTTGTCAAGTATTGTTATTAATGTTTTGATTTTTATTGACTATATATATATCTCCAAAATGTACATCTCCTGCACCAAGTATGGTGAATTTATTAGTCACCAGTTCACCGTAAAAGACCTAAGCAATCTTTTACTTAACTACTGAAAGGTTTGAGGTGTTTTGAAATATTGTTTCTAAAATGCAGTTGCTGTGACAGGGAATTAAAGGTGTCATTGCTTTTATTTTCATTATTGTATTTCCTGCCTAAGTTAATCCCTGTACAATTACGAGTGCTAAAAACAGCTAGGCTCTCAGAAGTTGATGTGGCAACAAAAATTAAAACACTGGTTTAACCCCCCCCCCCCTGTATAATTCAATATTATGATTGTTTCTAGGTTTTCCAATGGTGATGTTGATGCCATTCAACACTGTTTTAAATACACGGCCACAGTCCTAACCAGCACAGTGGCATTCCAGAACGAGAGAAAACTCAAGAACCAGACAGAAGTAAGGATAGATTTACAGCTGAAATGTTGTTTTGCAACTTAATTCTTACTTGAATTTGACAGTACAGGTGGAACATGTAGATGAAAACAAAGGATAATTAGAATTTGTACACATAAGATGTATTTTTATTTAACTTGGCAGGAAGATGAATGAAAAATTCACACCAAAAATCTTAGGAATCTGTTTGAAATTCTTCTGCAAATTTTAGACTGAGGAAATGTTCAATAACTGCTGATGTACTAGGTAAAACTATTGAAATATTTCCTTGCTTTAAGTGCATAATATTATTTTTAAAAAATATATGTCAATATTTGATACATGATTTAAAGCATTTGTTTATATGTTTATGTTCTCTTATGTTCCTTTCATTTCAGGCTCTACTACAGGTAGCAAAGAATCTTTTCACTCATCTTGGTGAGTATGGCAAGAAGGCCATGCATGCTCTGGAAGTAGATCTAGAAAAGCCTCCATTTCCTCTCACTGCTTCTTTCTCTTCTTCCTCTTCATCCAGTTCTGATCTTATTTGCCATCACAGTGGTGCTCTAGCACAGCAGGTATCTTCAGAGCAATTCTGTGCACATCTAATGCAATCTCTCACTCTGCTAGACAAAAACATGCAGGCTGCTAAATGTTACCAAAGTGAAGTTAAATTACCAACTCCAAGACCCAGTGAAGTTGAAGCTGGAGTTAATTTAGATGATACTGAACTTAATTCAAAATTTTACAAAAGTGATGGTGACAATATCCATAGGGCACCTGTGGATGATGACTCTAGGCTGACCTCTGACAGAGGTTTTACCCCTAACCCCATGATGACTTCTGAAGAACAGTTGACCTCAGAACTGACCTCTGACCCACATATGACCTCTGACCCGCAAATTATAGCTGATCCAAGAATGACATTTGTTCACTCAAAACCGGTTCCTATCAGCTCGGGAAGAAGCAGTCCTCAAGGAAGTAACACATTGGAGACGCTGAAGGACCTGACCTGGAGAGTCATTCAGAAGCAGGACCACCTGGCTGACCAATTGGTTACTCCATCTGGACATCAAGTGACCAGCCCAGCCTGTTTTGCTAGCAGGTATGAGCAGCAGAGAAATGCCTTTGTTAAGCCAAAGTTGAAGACTCCTAGCCCCAGGAAAGATGATTTGTTTAGTGACCACCACTTGTGTAGACAATCCAACAGCAGGGAGAAGCTGACTAGTGCTCCTTATGATAAAGCTACAAGTCCAGTCTTTAAGAAGAAAATGGAATTTGCTTTGAAACGATCTTCTGATTCCTCACATAATGCTGACCAAACAGGTTCAAAAACTCTCTTTCAGATGGAAGAAGAATACCAAGTTGAAAAGGAAATGTTGGCCAGTGCAGAGATTGTTTCCTCATTGCCAGAGAGTGATAATCAGATTGAAAACCAGGATGTTACCTCAGAAGGAGAAGAATCATTTACCACTTGTGCAAGCAGGAGTAACAGCACTTTGCCAGATGTGAGTCCACGTTATGATACACCAGCTGGTGCCTCGCCCACACCAGGTGATCACTTTGATACCTCACCTTATATGTCACCCACACTTGGTGTCAGGGATGATACAGCAAGTCCTATTTTACCAGATGACAGCTTCCGGAGTGAAATGTCTCCTGTTGAAAATAATTCAGCATCACCAGACATGGTGCCCCTGATTGCTAAGCCTTCATCTGATTCAGGAGAGCAACATTTGGGTGATGTTATGCTTTGTCCACCAATAAGCCCCCAGTATGAAGAGCAGACCAACCAAGCAGAGCCAGTGCCCAGCTTGTCAGACATATCCTTGGAGGTGAATGTTTCAACAGAAACCACACCAAGAAAGCAGGCAGATGTGAAACAAGTGGGCTTTGAGGACACCATCTCAGCCACCTTGGCATTTTCTCCTGAAACAGACCACATGGGAGAGCTGCAGCATATATGCCAGTCAAGTCTTTTGGATGAGGAAGATACTACTTTGACCCCAGTGGTAACCTCTGACATTAACTTGACCTCAGGTCAGGCAGGTGCCCCTTATGCCAGTGATCTAGCAGAGGGAGCCTGGGAAGAAGGTTTTGACAGGGCAAATTCAGGGGTTCCAAAAAATAGTCAAGATTTTTGTGAGTATAAAGCTCCTTTTACTGCAGGAAGTGTCCACATTGATCCCCTTTTTCCTCACTTGGATGTTGTGAGAGAGGCGGCAGGTACACAGGCCACAGAACCTGGTGGGAGCCTCCAAAGCATGATCAGTAGCACACTTGACACACCAAAAACTGCCAGTGGGATTATAAGGAGGCGTTTGAATACTGCATTCTTAGCATCTGACTCCTCGAGCAGCCTTGAAACTGAGAATAAGTCTTCTAGCTTCTCTGTTTCTGTGACAGGAGGTCATCATTCTAAATTCACTATGCCAATCTCACAGAACAGTCTTCCTGAAGATCATAGCCCAGATATCTCACCAGATCAGGTCCCAAACACTGGATTCTTAGTATCTAACCCACAGACTAGTATCCACCAAGGGCAAGGAACTTCAGGTGTCTCCGTAATTTTTCCTGAGGAGGTCCTAAACACTGGTTTCCTAGTCTCTAAATCCCAGATCAGTCTCCTTAGGGAAGGGCAAGCACCAGGTAGCTTCTCAGGGATTGTAACCAGGGCCTTGAATACTGCTTTATTAGCCCCTGAAAAGAAGGATCTGGATATCATCATTGAAGACATCGATGCCAATCAGCAACATGCAGTGTCATATCCAAATCTTGCCTCGAGTAGAGGCTCTACACATAAAAAAGTTGCCAGAGCACGTTTTCTGAGTATGAATACTGGGGAGAATCCTTTGATGTCATTGTTTTGGCGTAGGTCATGCAGGCCTTGTTTAAGCCTAGATGTGCAGTGGACAACAGAGGGAGCCAGTGTTATGGTTCTGAAGACGCCCAGTGAAGTGGAAGATTTGCAAGAATGTATGCATGGTAATGAGTCAGCAAAGTCTGTACGAAATGCTGTATTTTAATTTTTTTCTTTTTTCTTTTGCATTAACCTGTTATTTATAATGACTAATGCTAAAGCTTAGAAAAATGTTGTTTTTGCTTTTCATAAAAATATTTCAGGTGTTATATGAAAAATACTGGGCCAATTTCATTGGTTTTGGTTTTTTAATCTCTTTGTATTGATATAGTAGTGGTTTCTTCAGGTTCTACCCCTACCTTAGACCCACATTGCCATTACTTTAGACTTCTAGAGTTTAGTCTAGATCCATTATGTAGAATTCATGGTGTGAACTTCATTTTATAATAAAACCTTGATTTGGTGTGGTTTTTACCTGGTTTTACTAAATATATATATATATATTTTTTTTTAAATCCACATGGAATTGGTCCTTTGTGCTTAATAATTGCATATATGTAAGCCTCTGAAATAGTTAGAGATTATGTAAGGTTGTGTCAGGTAATATCCAGTTCTAGCTGCTTGTAATGAAGTTTAATTGTCATTACTTTTTAATGCTTTTTACAAAATAATATATTTGATGTTTTGCATTTCTCTATTGTACTTTTCAACTAACACACAGTTTTGTATTGTATGTTTTTCCTTTTATCTATTTCCCTTCCTATTTTTACTTCACATACTATTGGTACAAATATCTGAACTTCATATTATACTTAAAACAATGTAATTACTATATTTTTGAGGGTTTCTGAGAGAGTTTCTTACAGGTCCATGTGGCTAATGCAAATTTAGCTGTTTTACTGTATGAATTTACCTTGTGTGGCAAAACCATCTAGTTGTTAGTCCAAAAATAAACACTCCTTTTTTTACATGGCTGTTATAACATCTGTTTTCCCATTGGTCCTCAGAATTTGCTAATTGACTACATGTATATATGACTAGAGTGTGATATTGTTAGCACATTACAGTAGCTTGCGCTTGTATTTGAAATTAAGACACACAAAAAAAAAATGACCAAATGCATTTTATTTGAATTAGATGACTTGACTAAACTGCTGCGAGAAATCATGCAAGAAGCCAGGAATTTGACAAAAGCTGAAAGGTAATGAATCTGATATCATCTATTAAGTTCAGCAATTATTGCATGTACATGTTTAATTGACCATTTTTTTGCTGCGTAATTTTTTTGAACATCAAGTTTGTACATGTTTACTAGCTAAGTTAGTGAGATTGTCTGTTTATGTGTCTGTGTGACTACCTGTCAAGTTGTCTTCTGGGAATACTACCTTGTATTTAAAATTGTGGTGCCTAAATATGGATTTATTTAAAAGAATAATTAAGCAAGTATCAATCAGGGATGCAACTTTTCTGACAATTGGCCGATTTCCAAATTTATCATTTTTGAGATTGATGCAGATCTGCAATAGAAACTGTATATGGGGGAGGGGGGGGAGGTCTGACACCAAGCCGTATTTTCAGACATTTCCACTAAATGGCAGTGTTATCCCTTATTAATTACATTCCAAACAATTACCTGTATTGGATTAGGCATACAAGTGTACTGTTTGTTAATAAATAGCACATACACTTCTTCATAAAAATGTGTCAGTATTAGAAACATATTGTCTGACTTGATGTAAGATCAAAAGTCAAGATCTTTTTTTTTTCTGCAATAGAGATCTATGCCTATTGTGTAAATGCATGTGAATGGATTCATGTAACCTTTTTGTACATTGTTGATTATATACATAATGAAAGTAGAGAATGGGTAATAACAGATGCAGAATAGATTGGTCAAAATAACAGTTAAACATTTTATTTTGAATATACGCATCATAGATGCAAACATCATGAAACTTTTGTCACAACAAAAGAGCTTCTGTGTTTGTTCTGTCACCATGTAGCAATGATCACCAATCTAATCAAATTCCAAGAGTCTCAGCTCAATCAGCCAGCCATTGTATTTTTTTTACTTAATACTATTATTGTATTATTCCTGTTTTATATTTATATTATATCTCCCAAAGTATACTCATTCTAAAAACGGACATAGTCTTGCAGCAAAATGAATAAATAAATGAATACACTCCATCTACCCTCAGCATATCGTGTGACCTCGACAAACATGAAATGACACAGAGGGAATACAATAACTTACTGGGTATATAAATATTGATTCTGTTTTTCTCTAGGTGCTCAGTGTTTTTGTTGGACAGAGACAGTAATGAGCTGGTGGCAAAAGTATTTGATGGAAATGTAGCTAATCCAAAGAACCCAGAGGTAGGTAGAACCCCTATAACAGTATTAGTTAGAGTCAAGCAGGCATGTGAAAGATAATATAGCCAATTTTAATTAACATGTTTGTTTCTTCAAAAACAAATAATATCGTGGGATTGTTTTTCCCATATTCATCATGCATTTGGTAAAACAAAAAGTTAATTGGCTTAGAAAATGCTAAGCTGATAGAAACTTTGTTAATCCAAACAATGCAAAGGTAGATAGAACTTAAACATTGCTCCTAGTTTCAAGCAGTTAAGATATAAAAGTCATACATACTCAATTTGGCCCAGGAAAAAAATTCATATGCTTAGTATCCCCTCCACCCCAAATAGTAAGAGACTCGTAAACAAGATCAGATGACAGCACAATAAGTAGGCTGATTGATATTTGACCAGCATATTCTGCCCTTATTTATGCTAAAACCCAAATGAGATTTTTATGATTTACTTTGGCTAATTGACCATGTAATGAAAGTAATGCCCTTATGCTATATTCTTGCTTGATACAATTTTCTATAAATCTCTGCATGCACAGTCCACAATGTTTAATCCATATTAGGATTTCTAAAATTGATAAGTTTTCATGTTGGTTTTTGTGATATGAACTTCTGATTTGATTACTAATAATAGAACCATTGTTTTGCATTTTTTTTTAAATTTTATTCACACATAAAGTGTTTTCACAGCCCATACCCCCTGCACGTGGACTGTGGTACATATTGCAGTCATGGTAACCAGAAAGTAATGTGTACACATATAAATGTAGTTGGCAACATGTTCTAGGAAAAAGCACAACTTTTGTTATTTTTAAGTATATTTGGGAAAACAAAGGCAAAAAGCATTGGGCACCCATGTAAATTTTGTTGCTATGGCAACATGATTTAGAAAATGCTTGTTTTTTTCATTTTCATAATACAATTTTTAGTGCTCTTCCACTAATTCATCACTCGTAAAGGTGCCCATTTAAGTCAAACAAATGTGTGCCAAATGTGTGCCCAATTTACATATAGAGACTGACAACCACATTTGATTCCACTCAAAATATGGAAGGCATATGTTATTCAATCATCATTTTGTATTGATTTAAATTTTGGTGGATAAAAATGTAAAGCAGACAAACTTCTAGTGTAAATGAGTAAATGTAAATGCTATATGTGTTATCAGATACCTAAAATCTTGAAGCTGGCTGCAGTTATATTAAAATGTTACAGCAGTGACGAAAGAATGTTCTGCCCTCAGTATAAAATCAAAGCATGTTAATTAGTTCAGTCTGGATTAACATGGTGTGCGGGCAGCATAAGGCTTTCTTTCATCTATTGCTTTTATATATCAAAAGGTTTGTTTCAGGCACAAACCGAGATAAGAATTCCTGCAAATCAGGGTATAGCTGGCCATGTAGCTACTTCAGGTAGGTTGGACATGAATAAACCAGATGTTTGATATATCTTTTTATATCTGTCTTTTTGCTGCCTATCTTTTTTTTCCAATTTACTTCTGGAAAAAATAAGATGAAGTGCAGCTAATTCTTTTTTGGGACTTAAGAGATTAAAAAGTTTTACAGAGGGCAAAAAATGTTTTCAACATAACTTTGGTGACCTATTGACAATAAATGACAATTTTCATAATGTTCAAAAGTGATAAATGCACATGTACTTGTAAATTGTCTGTATTAAAAATCACACGCATGCACACACACATGCACACATTTGTTGTAAGCACACCTCAAAATTATATCAGTTTTAAGCTTGCAATTGCCCTTTGTCATGAGTGGACCTTTTTTTTTTTCTCATTGTAGGTGAAATTCTCAACATCCGCGATGCCTATGCCCATCCATTATTCTACAGAGGTGTTGATGAAAGCACAGGCTTTAGAACAAGGTGTGTGATAAAATTTTGTCCAATGATATATATGTATATAAAATAACACCATCCTGTGATAATAGGTAATTTTTAAAAATAATTATTCCACCCTGGACCCAAATATTTTGAACTAAATTCCATTTTATGATTCAATTCCAAGCTAATCTAATCACTAAGATTAAGAAGCTTGTAATTATAATGATTAAACTACATTATTTAAAGAACTGTTCTATATACAGACAGAATAACAGAATAAACAATGTCAAGCTACCAGATGGTTTCCCAAATAGACATTAAGACAATAAGTTAACACATGTTAACTAATAAAATGTTCATCTCAGCTAGGGGAGACTAATAAATAACACATGATTGTAATATCAGTCAGGGTATTTTTCTTGTTTTTTATGTCAGGTATTATTGAAGTGATGATAAAAGCCATTTTCATTTTCAGAAATATTCTGTGTTTTCCAATTATGGATGAAAAACGTAAGTACAGCCCAAAGTGCCAGACAATTTCAATTGTCGTTAATTAAGTTGTTTTCAGAATTATTTTCACCTTTACCCTTGTGTAAATGAATTCAAGTTAGAACTGTGTAAGTAAAGGAGCAGTATGGTCATTTGTAAATTATTTCAAATATTCAAATGCTTCATTTATTGCTATATGTTTTATCTTTGAAGATTAATCATTTTTACTTACCCAAATGTACTTCTGATCATGAAGCAAAATAACTTAAGAAAAAATTGAATCAACATATATACAAACAAAAAATTATTTGGGGGGAGATAAGCAATAAATTTTGTGCCAATTTGATGAAAAATTGCTGCACTGAAAGACTTTTTTCTCAAAACTTAGTGGCCACCTTGTCTTGTGCCCTTGGGTCAGACACTCTTTGTCTCCACACCAAGGTGGATAAATGCAGACCTTATCCTGTTACTCTGTTTTAGATTGATCTGTGGCATGCCATCTTCTTCATTTTAAAAGCTTCATAAAAAAAAACGTTCCAGCCTCAGTTAGTATAAACTTTTGTGGTTAGAGGCTTATAAATAATGTTTTAGTATGGCAATTACTGGCTTAATCTAAATTTAGTACTGTAATAATATTTCCAGAAAGTATTGTTTGCTGGTAATATTTGAAAGGGATGCTTGTTAAATTCTGAGATGCTTGTTAGGCTGTGAGTATGTGTCCAAAACCACGTTTTTGTGGTTATGAAATTGTTAATTGTGAATAAAAATGTTTTTGGTGAAAATTAGGTGTGAAATTGATATACCTAATAGTTTAAAGCAGCAACAAGGATCAATTTTCTAGAGTTTATCTAAAACCTCCTTGATGAATTTAATTGTTTTTGCCAAGCACTGTTTATAATGCTCAACACTTTAATCATATTAACATAATTCACACAAAAACATCACCTACTGTGCACTGCTAATAAACAACAGATACTTACTTTATTTTTATTGCTATTTTAAGATAGGGTACTAATTGGACAATAGGCTCCAGGAGTTTTATTTTGATGTTTTGGTGTTCACCTTTATCAGTACCTAGTGTTATGAAACATTCCAGAGAAAATGCAGCCTAATTATGATCTCTTCTGAGAATTTCTTCTTGATTTACCAATTAAGGTTAATTATGAATCCAGACCATTAGACCATGAGACATACAAACATGTTGTGTGTTTTGAGAAATTCATCTGGTACCCTTGATACTGGCCTTGGTCATAAAAGACGCTGACAACACAATCTTGCATCATTTATGCGATGCATTTCAGTGCGAGGGATCGACAGCTTCATTCTCTAAATTTGAAGTTTTTCTCACTATTTTCCTGCAGAAACCATCGTAGGGGTGGCGCAGTTGTGCAACAAGAAAGACGGCTCGTGTTTTACATCATTTGACGAGGACATTGCTCGGGCATTCTCCATTTATTGCTGTATAAGTATTGTACAGGTATGTGTCGCAGTTGTTTTCTAAAAAATTAGTAGAAAGCACACATTTGTCCGCAAGATACATCTCTCCTTAATGTGGATCATGTACTGTACTGTATTATATATATATTCACCTCAACGCTATTAATGCTGTGATTATTGATTTGGTTTAATTAATATGTGTTTTATTGATAATTATACTAATTAATCATGATTTGTTTTTAATTCGGTACCAAGAGATATGCTATTATGATAATCAGAAATAATTGAATAATGCTTAGTTTGTCAGAGAACATGAAGGGAATTATTGTGAATATGTGAATAATTACCAAGTAGATATAATTTTGGAAAGAGGGAAAATGTTCAATGTATAATTTACATAATCATGGCTTTTTTTCAGAAACCATTCATTATTTATATATATTTGTAATTGGATATTTTGATTATTTATATTTGTGCGTGTTCCTCTTTTTGTGTGCTTATTGTGTGGTATGTGATTCATTTGTCTAACTGAATAATGTCCCAAATATCAGGCCTACCCAACTACCAGACTCGGCACATAAGGATCCTGAATTAACCGGTATATCGGACCACACTACCTGTTTTCAAGGTGTGTGTCAGATCGCATTTCGGAGTATCATACCCTAGAACAAATTTTGTAGGACGACCGCGGGCTCATCCTGTCGGTGTTTTGACTGATACTCCGAAATGCGATCTGACACACACCTTGAAAACGGGTAGTGTGGTCCGATATACCNGCTTAACTACTGAAAGGTTTGAGGTGTTTTGAAATATTGTTTCTAAAATGCAGTTGCTGTGACAGGGAATTAAAGGTGTCATTGCTTTAATTTTCATTATTGTATTTCCTGCCTAAGTTAATCCCTGTACAATTACAAGAGCTAAAAACAGCTAAGCTCTCAGAAGTTGATGTGGCAACAAAAATTAAAACACTGGTTTAACCCCCCCTGTATAATTCAATATTATGATTGTTTCTAGGTTTTCCAATGGTGATGTTGATGCCATTCAACACTGTTTTAAATACACGGCCACAGTCCTAACCAGCACAGTGGCTTTCCAGAACGAGAGAAAACTCAAGAACCAGACAGAAGTAAGGATAGATTTACAGCTGAAATGTTGTTTTGCAACTTAATTCTTACTTGAATTTGACAGTACAGGTGGAACATGTAGATGAAAACAAAGGATAACTAGAGTTTGTACACATAAGATGTATTTTTATTTAACTTAGCAGGAAGATGAATGAAAAATTCACACCAAAAGTCTTAGGAATCTGTTTGAAATTCTTATGCAATTTTTAGACTGAGGAAATGTTCAATAACTACTGATGTGCTAGGTAAAACTATTGAAATATTTCCTTGCTTTAAATTAAGTGCATAATATTATTTTTTTAAAATATATATCAATATTTGATACATGATATAAAGCATTTGTTTATATGTTTATGTTCTCTTATGTTCCTTTCATTTCAGGCTCTACTACAGGTAGCAAAGAATCTTTTCACTCATCTTGGTGAGTATGGCAAGAAGGCCATGCATGCTCTGGAAGTAGATCTAGAAAAGCCTCCATTTCCTCTCACTGCTTCTTTCTCTTCTTCCTCTTCATCCAGCTCTGATCTAATTTGCCATCACAGTGGTGCTCTATCACAGCGGGTATCTTCAGAGCAATTCTGTGCACATCTAATGCAATCTCTCACTCTGCTAGACAAAACCATGCAGGCTGCTAAGTGTGACCAAAGTGAAGTTAAATTACCAACTCCAAGACCCAGTGAAGTTGAAGCTGGCGTTAATTTAGATGATACTGAACTTAATTCAAAATTTTACATAAGTGATGGTGACAATATCGAAAGGGCACCTGTGGATGATGACTCTAGGCTGACCTCTGACAGAGGTTTTACCCCTAACCCAATGATGACTTCTGAAGAACAGTTGACCTCAGAACTGGCCTCTGACCCACAAATTATATCTGATCCAAGAATGACATTTGTTCACTCAAAACCGGTTCCTATCAGCTCGGGAAGAAGCAGTCCTCAAGGAAGTAACACATTGGAGACGCTGAAGGACCTGACCTGGAGAGTCATTCAGAAGCAGGACCACCTGGCTGACCAATTGGTTACTCCATCTGGACATCAAGTGACCAGCCCAGCCTGTTTTGCTAGCAGGTATGAGCAGCAGAGAAATGCCTTTGTCAAGCCAAAGTTGAAGACTCCTAGCCCCAGGAAAGATGATTTGTTTAGTGACCACCATTTGTGTAGACAATCCAACAGCAGAGAGAAGCTGACTTGTGCTCCTTATGATAAAGCTACAAGTCCAGTCTTTAAGAAAAAAATGGAATTTGCTATGAAACAATCATCCGATTCCTCACCAAAGGCTGACCGAACAGGTTCAAAAACTCTCTTTCAGATGGAAGAAATATCCCAAGTTGAAAAGGAAATGCTGGCCAGGGAAGAGATTGTTTCCTCATTGCCAGAGAGTGATGATCAGATTGAAAACCAGGATGTTACCTCAGAAGGAGAAGAATCATTTACCACTTGTGCAAGCAGGAGTAACAGCACTTTGCCAGATGTGAGTCCACGTTATGATACACCAACTGGTGCCTTGCCCACACCAGGTGATCACTTTGATACCTCACCCACGATTGGTGTCAGGGATGATACAGCAAGTCCTATTTTACCAGATGACAGCTTCCGGAGTGAAATGTCTCCTGTTGAAAATAATTCAGCATCACCAGACATGGTGCCCCAGATTGCTAAGCCTTCATCTGATTCAGGAGAGCAACATTTGAGTGATGTTATGCTTTGTCCACCAATAAGCCCCCAGTATGAAGAGCAGACCAACCAAGCAGAGCCAGTGCCCAGCTTGTCAGACATATCCTTGGAGGTGAATTTTTCAACAGAAACCACACCAAGAAAGCAGGCGGATGTGAAACAAGTGGGCTTTGAGGACACCATCTCAGCCACCTTGGCATTTTTTCCTGAAACAGACCACATGGGAGAGCTGCAGCATATATGCCAGTCAAGTCTTTTGGATGAGGAAGATACTACTTTGACCCCAGTGGTAACCTCTGACATTAACTTGACCTCAGGTCAGGCAGGTGCCCCTTATGCCAGTGATCTAGCAGAGGGAGCCTGGGAAGAAGGTTTTGACAGGGCAAATTCAGGGGTTCCAAAAGATAGTCAAGATTTTTGTGAGTATGAAGCTCCTTTTACTGCAGGAAGTGTCCACATTGATCCCCTTTTTCCTCACTTGGATGTTGTGAGAGAGGCAGCAGGTACACAGGCCACAGAACCTGGTGGGAGCCTCCAAAGCATAACCAGTAGCACACTTGACACACCAAAAACTGCCAGTGGGATTATAAGGAGGCGTTTGAATACTGCATTCTTAGCATCTGACTCCTCGAGCAGCCTTGAAACTGAGAATAAGTCTTCTAGCTTCTCTGTTTCTGTGACAGGAGGTCATCATTCTAAATTCACTATGCCAATCTCACAGAACAGTCTTCCTGAAGGCAAAGACGATCATAGCCCAGATATCTCACCAGATCAGGTCCCAAACACTGGATTCTTAGTTTCTAACCCACAGACTAGTATCGACCAAGGGCAGGGAACTTCACGTGTCTCCGTAATTTTTCCTGAGGAGGTCCTAAACACTGGTTTCCTAGTCTCTAAATCCCAGATCAGTCTCCTTAGGGAAGGGCAAGCACCAGGTAGCTTCTCAGGGATTGTAACCAGGGCCTTGAATAATGCTTTATTAGCCCCTAAAGAGAGGGATCTGAATATCATCATTGAAGACATCAATGCCAATCAGCAGCATGCAGTTTCATATCCAAATCTTGCCTTAAGTAGAGGCTGTAAGTATGCAAAAACTGCCAGGGCGCATTGTCTGAGTATGGATACTGGGGAGAATCCTTTGATGTCATCGTTTTGGCGTAGGTCATGTAGGCCTTGTTTAAGCCTAGATGTGCAGTGGACAACAGAGGGAGCCAGTGTTATGGTTCTGAAGACGCCCTGTGAAGTGGAAGATTTGCAAGAATGTATGCATGGTAATGAGTCAGCAAAGTCTGTACGAAATGCTGTATTTTAATTTTTTTCTTTTTTCATTTGCATTCACCTGTTATTTATAATGACTAATGCTAAAGCTTGGCAAAATGTTGTTTTTGCTTTTCATAAAAATATTATATTGACAGCAGAGGGAAATGAATATTTTAGGTGTTATATGAAAAATACTGGGCCAATTTCATTGGTTTTGGTTTTTTAATCTCTTTGCATTGATATAGTAGTGGTTTCGTCAGGTTCTACCCCTTCCTTAGACCCACATTGCCATTACTTTAGAGCGCATTCTCAACGAAGTAAGCCAGGCNTACTACTACAGTTTATTCTAGATCCATCATGTAGAATTCATGGTGTGAACTTCATTTTATAGTAAAACCTTGATTTGGTGTGGTTTTTACCTGGTTTTAGTAAAAAGTTTTTTTGAAATCCACATGGAATTGGTCCTTTGTGCTTTATAATTGCATATATGTAAGCCTCTAAATTAGTTGGAGATTACGTAAGGTCGTTTCAGGTGATATCCAGTTCTAGCTGCTTGCAGCCATTAGATGTCGAAACAGAAAACTCTAAATCTCGAACTGTTAATGCTAGAGACCTCTTGTTGTCATTACTTTTTAATGCTTTTTACAAAATAATATATTTGATGTTTTGCATTTCTCTATTGTACTTTTCAACTAACACACAGTTTGGTATTGTCTGTTTTTCATTTTATTTATTTACTTTCCTATTTTTACTTCATATACTATTGGTACAAAAATTTGAACTTCACATTATACTTAAAACAATGTGATTCTTGCTATATTTTCGAGGGTTTCTTAGAGAGGTTCTTACAGGTCCATGTAGCTAATACAAATTTAGCTGTTTCACTGTATGAACTTGCCTTGTGAGGTAAAACCATCTAGCTTTTAGTCCGAAAATAAACACTCCTTTTTTACATGGCTATTATAACATTTGTTTTCCCATTGGTCTTCAGAATTTGCTAATTGACTACATGTATATATGGCTGGAGTGTGATATTGTTAGCACATTACAGTAGCTTGTGTTTGAAATTTACACACACAAAAAAAAAATGACCAAATGCATTTTATTTGAATTAGATGACTTGACTAAACTGCTGCGAGAAATCATGCAAGAAGCCAGGAATTTGACAAAAGCTGAAAGGTAATGAATCTGATATCATCTATTAAGTTCAGAAATTATTGTATGTACATGTTTGATTGACCATTTTTTTTGCTGCGCAGTTTGTTTGAACACCAAGTTTGTACGAGTCTACTAGCTATGTTAGTGAGATTGTCTGTTTATGTGTCTGTGTGACTACCTGTCAAGTTGTCTTCTGGGAATACTACCTTGTATTTAAAATTGTGGTGCCTAAATATGGATTTATTTAAAAGCATTAATTAAGCAAGTATTAATCAGGGATGCAATTTTTCTGACAATTGGCAGATTTCCAAATATATCATTTTTGAGATTGATGCAGATCTGCAATGAAAACTTTATTTGCGGGAGGGGGAGGGGGGGGGAGGTCTGACCCCAAGCCATATTTTCAGACATTTCCACTAAATGGCAGTCTTATCCCTTATTAATTACATTGCAAACAATTACCTGTATTGGATTAGGCATGCACGTGTTTTGTTTGTTAATAAATAGCACATACACTTCTTCATAAAAATGTGTCAGTATTAGAAACATATTGTCTGACTTGATATAAGATCAAAAATCAAGATCTTTTTTTTTCTGCAGTAGAGATCTATGCATAAATTGGAATGGATTCATGCAATTTTTTTGTACATTGTTGATTATATATAAAATGAAAGTAGAGAACAGGTAATAACAGATGCAGAAAAGTTTGGTCAAAATAACAGAGTTAAACATCTTATTTTGTATATACACATCATAGATGCAAACATCATCAAACTTGGGTCATAACTTGCTCTAACAAAAGAGCTTCTGTGTTCATTCTGTCACCATATAGCTATGATCACCAACCCAACCAAATTCTGAAAGTCTCGGCTCAATCAATATTTTTTTCCTGTTTTATATTTATATCTCCCAAAATATACTCATTCTGAAAACGTACGTAGTCTTGCAGCAAAATGAATAAATAAATGAATACACTCCATCTACCCTCAGCATATCATGTGACCTCGACAAACATGAAATGACACAGAGGGAATACAAGCACTTACTGAGTATATAAATATTGATTCTATTTTTCTCTAGGTGCTCAGTGTTTTTGTTGGACAGAGACAGTAATGAGCTGGTGGCAAAAGTATTTGATGGAAATGTAGCTAATCCAAAGAACCCAGAGGTAGGTAGAACCCCTATAACAGTATTAAGAAGAGTTAAGCAGGCATGTAAAAGATAATATAGCCAATTTTAACATGTTTGTTTCTTCAAAAACAAATAATATCGTGGGTTTGTTTTTCCCATATTCATCATGCAGTTGGTAAAACAAATAGTTAATTGGCTTAGAAAATGCTAAGCTGATATAAACTATGTTAATCCAAACGATACAAAGGTAGGTGGAACTATAGGAACATTACTCCCAGTATCAAGCATTTAAAATACAAAAGTCATACATACTCAATTTACCCCAGGAAAAAATCGTATGCTTAGTGTCTCTTCCACCCCAAATAGTAAGAGACTCATAATAAGATCAGATGACAGTACAACAGATAAGCTGATTGATGTTTGGCCAGCATATTCTACTCTTATTTAGTTAAAACAATAGGGTCTGGGAATGGTCCCGAAATCTCTGCATGCACAGTGGACAATATTCAATCTATATAAGGATTTCAAAAAGTTGATAGGTGTTCATGTTGGTTTTTGTGATATAAACTTTTTGTTCAATTACTAATAATAGAACTGTTGTTTTGCTTCTTTTTTTTTTTAAATTTAATCAGACATAAAGTGTTTTCATAGCCCATACCCCCTGCACATGGACTTGGGTACATATACTGCAGTCATTGGTGAATAGAAAGTAACGTGTACTCATATGAATGTAGTTGGCAACATGTTCTAGGAAAAAGTAGAATATTTGTTATTTTTTAGTATGTTTGGGAAAACAAAGGTAGATAGCATTTGGCAGCCGTGTATGTTTTGTTGCTATGGCAACAGGATTTAGAAAATGCTTGTTTTTCTCATTTTCATAGTACAATTTCTTCCACTAATTCATCACTCATGAAGATGCCCATTTAAGTCAAACAAATGTGTGCCCAATTTACGTATAGAGACTGACAACCACATTTGAGTCCACACAAAATATGGGAGGCAGACGTTGTTCAGTCATCGTTTTGTATTGTTTTGAATTTTGCTAGATAAAAATGTAAGGCAGACAAACTTCTCGTGTTATCAGATACCTAAAACCTTGAAGCTGGCTGCAGTTATATAATAAAATATAAGAGCCGTGACAGAAGAATGTTCTGCCCTCTGTAAAAAATAAAAGCATGTTTTAACATTAAAACTATAAGTTCAGTCTGTATTAACATGGTGTGAGGGTAGCATAAGGCTTTCTTTCATCTATTGTTTTTATATGTCAAAAGGTTTGTTTCAGGCACAAACCGAGATAAGAATTCCTGCGAATCAGGGTATAGCTGGCCATGTAGCTACTTCAGGTAGGTTGGACATGAATAAACCAGATGTTTGGTATCTTTTTGTTAAATGCTTCACATTTTATTGTCTCTTATTTGTAGACTTAAACTTGTTTTAATCTTCATGGCGGAAATATGTAAGGACCCTTCTTCATCCTAATTGCCCTTTCTTTTTGCTGCCTATCTTTTTTTTTTTTCAATTTACTCCCGGAAAAATCAGATGAAGTGGAGCTACCTCCTCTTGGGATATTTAGAGATGGGAAAGTTTTATAGAGGGCAAACAAATGTTTTTAACATCACATTGATGACGTTTTGACATTTTAATGACAGTTTTTATAATGTTCACAAATGATAAATGTACATGTACTTTTAAATTGTCTGTATTTAAAATCACACACGCCTGCATGCATGCACGCATGCACACATTCATTATAAGTACATTTCAAAATAATATCAGTTAAGCTTGCAATTGCCTTTTTGTCTTTGTCGTTAGTGGAGGTTTAATTTTTTTTTTCATTGTAGGTGAAATTCTCAACATCCGTGATGCCTATGCCCATCCACTATTCTACAGAGGTGTTGATGAAAGCACAGGCTTTAGAACAAGGTGTGTGATAAAATTTTGTGCAGTGATATGTATTGTAAATGTGCAATTAACACCATCTTGTTATAATTAGTGATTTTGAAAAATAGTTATCCCATTCTGGACTCAAATGTTTTGAACTAAATTTCACTTTAAGATTCAAAATACGAGTCAATCTAATCATTAAGATTAAGAAGCCTTTAATTATAATGATTAAACTACATTATTTTTAGAACTGTCATATCCACAGACAGAATAACAGAATAAACAATGTCCAGCTACCAGATGCTTTCCCAAATAGACATTAAGACAATAAGTTAATATATATTAACTAATAAAATTTTCATCTCAGCCAGGAGACACTAATAAATAACACATGGTAATTACAGTCAGGGAATTTTTCTTGTTTTTATGTCAAGTATTAAAAAAATGATGACAAAAGCCATTTTTATTTTCAGAAATATTCTGTGTTTTCCAATTATGGATGAAAAACGTAAGTACAGCCCAAAGTGCCAGACAATTTCAATTGTGGATCAGTAAGTTGTTTCCAGAATTCTTTTCACCTTTACACTTATGTAAATGAATCCAGGTTAGAATTTTGTCACTGAAGGAAAAATATGGTCATATGTAAATTATTTCAAATATCCAAATGCTTCACTGGTTGCTATATGTTTCATCTTTGAAGATTCATCATTTTTACATACCCAAATGTACTTGTAATCATGGAGCCAAATAACTTAAGAAAAAAATCAAGTCATTATATATTAAAACAAAATATCATTTTGGGGAAAATAATCAATTAATTCTGTGCCAATTTGATGAGAAATTGCTGTACTGAAATATTTTTTTCTCAAGACTAAGGCTTCATTCACATGCAATGTCTATTTTCTAAATTCTATTTTCTATTTGCGGTATGTCTTATGATCACGGTCTGTGCCCTGAATATCCCGCGGCGTAATTACTGGCAGCGCGAGCCTATAAGTATATTTAAATTCTAAATTTTGAGATGCTTGTTATGCTGTGTCCAAAACCATGTTTTTGTAATTATTATTTTATTTATATATTTAAATTCTAAATTTTGAAAAATATGTTTTTGGTGAAAGTGAGGTGTGAACTTGATATGCCTTATTGTTTAAAGCAGCAACAAGGATCAATTTCCTAGAGTTCATCTCAACCCCCCCCCCCCAAATTAAATTTTTGTTTTTTGCCAATCACTGTTCATAGTGCTCAACACTTTCATCGTGTTAACATAATAAGCAAAAAACATCACCTAGTGTGTAATGCTAATGAATAACAGATTGATACTTTATTTTTATTGCTATTTTAAGATAGGACACTAATTGGACAATAGGCTCCAGGAGTTTTATTTTGATGTTTTGATGTTGTTTACTTTTATCAGTACCTAGTGTTATGGAACATTCAGAGAAAATTAGACTTATTATGGTCTTTTCTGAGAATTTTCCCCTGATTTACCAATTAAGGTTAATTATGAATCCAGAACATGACACCATGAGACACACAAACATGTTATGTGTTTTGAGAAATTTATCTGGTACCCTTGATACAGGCTTTGGTCATAAAAGAAGCTAACAACACAATCTGGCATCTTTTATGCGATACATTTCAGTGACAGGGATGAACAGCTTCATGTAAAGATTAACGCACTTTCTCTTTTTTCACTGTTTTCCTGCAGAAACCATCGTAGGGGTGGCGCAGTTGTGCAACAAAAAAGACGGCTCGTGTTTTACGTCTTTTGATGAGGACATTGCTCGGGCATTCTCCATTTATTGCTGTATAAGTATTGTACAGGTATGTGTTGCATTTTTTTCTAAAAAATTAGTAGAAAGCACACATTTGTCCGCAAGATACATCTGTCCTTAATGTGGATCATGTACTGTACTGTACTTTATTATATATATACATATTCAACTCAACGCTATTAATGCTGTGATTATTGATTTGGTTTAATTAATATGTATTTTATTGATAATTTTACTAATTAGTCATGATTTGTTTTTAATTCGGTACCAAGAGATATGCTATTATAATAATCAGAAATAATTGAATAATGCTTAGTTTGTCAGAGAACATGAAGGGAATTAATGTGAAACTGTGAATAATTACCAAGTAGATATAATTTTGGAAAGAGGGAAAATGTTCAATGTATAATTTACATAATCATGGCTTTTTTTCAGAAACCATTCATTATTTATATATATTTGTAATTGGATATTTTGATTATTTATTTTTGTGCGTGTTCCTCTTTTTGTGTGCTTATTGTGTGGTATGTGATTCATTTGTCTAACTGAATAATGTCCCAAATATCAGGCCTACCCAACTACCAGACTCGGCACATAAGGATCCTGAATTAGCCGGTATATCGGACCACACTACCTGTTTTCAAGGTGTGTGTCAGATCGCATTTCGGAGTATCATACCCTAGAACAAATTTTGTAGGACGACCGCGGGCTCATCCTGTCGGTGTTCTGACTGATACTCCGAAATGCGATCTGACACACACCTTGAAAACGGGTAGTGTGGTCCGATATAGCGGTTAATTCAGGATCCTTATGTGCCGAGTCTGGTAGTTGGGTAGGCCTGAAATATGTTCTCTGTTCAGTTTGAGACTTGAAATGAGGATGGTGCAAACAATTGCTTTAAAGGGTTGCAACTCTTTAGTTTGGTGGGAAAAGTACCTCTTTACCTCTTTACCTGGTGTAAACAACAATGTTCCAGTACTTTTCAGTAGTTTATGAATCCTTTCCTACATTCACAGTTATTGGATTTTTTTTTTTTTTTTTTAGTGTGGTTTTTGTAACAATCTCTTTATTATGGAGGGTTGCCATTTATGAACATCCACAAAGTCTGATGGCAAGCACAGATTTCAGAATAATTGTGAAAAGCACCATTTTGGTGTTGAAATGGAATTTATTTTATGTCTGTGTGTTTGTTTACAATGTATTTATTGTGGAATTTTGAATTTCATGAGGAGTTGTTATCCCTTTAAGTTTGTAAAAAAGAAAACCAGACTTTTGCATAGATTTTGTTGCAGTAAATATAAACATACAGTATAGTTTTTATAAATAGTTCATCATGGCAGTACTTTTGCAAAGTTCAGCAGTGGTTTTCAATGAATCTTGTGACATGCAAACTGCTATTTACCAAACCTTGTGTTGGTACCAATGTTATTATATCAGTAATAAATGACTCCACTGGCACACATTACTTCCACACTGGAGACATTTAAGATCATAGTGTTTCATCATTTCAAACCCAACTTAGCAACAGCATAGTAGAGTCATTCACCTGGCTGAATGGACCAAAAAGTCTGCTTGGAAAAGATGAGTGGGTTGTCAGAAACCAAGGGTGATAAAATTCTATGGATAGTCAAGTTAATTAAGACCAGATCGTGCACAACAATAAATGCGTGGTAAAAATTTCGAATTTTTTAAAAGATGCTGTTCCATTAGCAAAGTGTAAAAAAAGACCAAATTAGTTATTCCAGTTGATAAGAATCCTTTGTTTTTTTCAATCAAAACTCTTTATTTGAGAAATAGAGCTGCTGACATTATGGTTTGGTTTAAATTCACACACCAATTCCCAAAAGCTTATTTATTAATTATATTTAACTCTGTAGGAAGAAACATGTTGGTCTTCAGTGGGCTCCTCTTAATTTTTGACATTTAACAGGTGTCAATAAAAGCTAGCCAAAAAAAAAAAAAAAGGAAAGAAATGAGGACTTGGTAGTAGGCTGTATTGTAATCATTCTTCTTAGTTCATGAAAGGGACTTGACTGATTTAAGCATTTAACTTCATGGACTTGTTCAGTGAGAGATTTTCCCACTATGAGCATGCTGGTAAGTGTGACAATTTCTTAGACTGGCAGAGTTTGACTTTCACATAATTGGACAATTAAGGAAAGGCTACCCTAAGACTTAGTGTGAGTAAACCTTTATATTGCAGTGCCTACTCTACAGACGTGCCAAAGAGTTTCAGTTTCGCAGTAATCTGACCAATGAACTTGCATTATACCATATGCAGGTAACGGGTGGATCTTAGTCGTGTCCATCTTGTTTCAGAAATTGCAGTGCTACTTGCACACAAACACACAGAAAAGCACACTAATAACCTGGTATGAAGTGCTGGTGCTTTTGCCACATCAAGTGATGATAGTGTTTGTTGCAGTTTTAAAATTGTTTTCAATTCTCCACTGTTTATTGGAATAATCATAGAAGACTTGCACAAACATCTATAATCACCTTATTATAAAGATTATGTGCATTGTTTTTATTAACATTTTTTATTGGCATAATAACTTTTATTGACATCTGTGGTAATATTGCTTGTTTCATGACTCCAAAATATATACAGCCCAAGTAGAAAATATTGTTATATCACTTATTGAAATATGTATGTTTTAAAAAAATGATACATAAAAAATACTATTGTTATTTAACCAGTCACACAGTTGAATGTTAAGAGGGATTCACACATGTGGGGGGCCGTTATGGTGTTGCCATAGAGATATTATCACATCCCCACTTTAGACATATTAGGGGAAAAGTAGTACTCTATGTATTAGATTCATTGATGTATTAAGTTTGTGATTAGAATCTAAGAATATCATTTTCAAAATTTCCACAGAAAAAAGAGGGTAGGATTATAACTCCGACATGCTTATGAGGATTGAATTATGGCTGTTGGAATTCTTGATGTGATGATTTCATGTGATGATTTCTGACTTTCAATCGCAACAGGACATCGTTGCTCAAGTCTGAATATTGGAAAGAATAAGTATTTTGAACATCTACATTATATACTAATGTGTGATATTTGCTTGCATCTAATCAAATTGACATGTCCATAACCAAGTAAGTACTGGTCTGAACCATTAGCCAATGTCTTTCCTGTAAGTTATCAGGGGCAGATCCAGGGAAATTTTCTGATAGACTAGCTAGGTTTTATCAGTGTGATCTGTCTAATGAAGAAAAATTCATTGCATTACATCATGTAGGGAATAATGATTTCTACTTGGAATCTTACAGCCTACTTTCCACTTATTCTGATAGAGATTCCACTGATTGTAATCTGCTGTTATTTGAAAGGATGAACCCAGAATGGCCCTAGGTACATTTTGGTACCCACATCATGTCAAGAGTGGAACGAGAGTTGATTTCACAGTAGTGTGAGTGAGCACATTGTAACCGTGTGTATTTGCTGTGAACTAACCCCACTGAGTGCTGGTTCACTGTGTGTTTCAGAGTCTACTATACAACAAAGCAATGGACGCCCAGCATCGTGTGAAACTGTCCACAGAGCTGATGACGTATCACATGCAGGTGAGAGAGGTAACGCTATTTAAGCATGCATGTCACACGTGCCACTCAACATGCTGCATGTCAGATGGGGTGTTGTCGTTTGCAATTAATTAACTCACAGGTTGTCATACAAAGAATATCCTAATGCTGCTTCCCACTGAAGTGGAAATTTTCTCTTTGAAAATTAAGTATACTTTTTCCCGTCTTTTTTTTTTCAAAAGCCAAAATTGATTTTAATAGGTGCTAAATTATTGATTAAAATTTTTATTAAAAATAGATATATGAGCTGACTTTGGGTAATACTTAACTTTGCAATTTCCTTAAACAAAGAATGTACAGGTGTATGACCCCTGGTGATAATTGTTTAAAGGAAATATTGAAATTGGCATCCCGTCTGCCACTTTAAACCACATCCTTGTTTCTGTGATATAACAGTATAGTTCAGCTTTTCAGGGATCTGAAATTTGAGTGAAAATGTGAAAACAAAATTTAGTGCTACATGTGATGTGGAAAAAGCTTTAATTTTATATTTTTATATCTCATGGGAAGAAAGTTACTTTGAAATTTTTTCAATTTTGTGAGTAAATAGTTCTTCACATTTAATTCTCTCGCAAGGATGATGTTACTGTGAGAAGAATAATGAGCAAAATCCCTGAAAAGAAGGCAACACACTACCATTTGCAGCTTATTGAGTGGTATCGTTTCACATAACAAGATCACACAACCTGATGCAGTGTAGTTTCAATATTTTATTTTCATAACCTGCCTCCATTAATCAAGCATGTCATTTGCACGTGCCAAGTTCTCAATAATTTAACATATCATAAAGTATATTTTCTCTCACTGTGATTAGCATGAGCAACATGCCTGATTAACGGAAAATCAAAATTAATTGGGTCACCAGGTAAGCACTGATCCAGATAATATATATCCGGTCAGCAGGAAAAAAGTGACATAGATTTTCTATGTCTGGTGTTTTGAAATGTTTTTTCGAGATGAATGTCCATGCAGGCAGTGAAGGTGGTCATTGCTGTTCTTTATTATGAAGAAGTTGAATCAAGGTAATTTCTTAGATAGGAATCTGAAGGTTTTAGTTTAACCTGTCTCATGTAGACCTTTTAGTGGGATCTCTTATAGTTGCTTCTATCTTTTTTTTAATAAATTAATTATTTTTATAATTTATTTATAATACTTATAATTTTTTTCTTTTTGCTGCTGGCATGCTTATAGGCATTTTTCACTTTCTTTGTGAATTATATGTGAATCTATTCTGTACTTGTACTTTCCCCAAGTTAATGCTATGTCTTACCCTAATTTTTGATTTACAGTGCAAATTGTGGTTTTGAAAGAAAATGTCAAAGTTGTTTCAGTAAGTCTAGCTTTCTTCCTATTACATGTATGTATAATAGGAAAATGAGAGTGTCGGATTTTTGATGAATGTTCAGAAATGAACAGGAATCAGAGAATGATATTTTTCCTTTTTATTTTTATTATTTTAAAAATTTTATTCTGTATTCTTTGTCTTCATCCTTGTGTTTAATCAATTAGAAGTCACACTGCCCCCCCCCCCCTTTTTTGACAAAAATAAAGAATCATTTTTGGATCTATATAACATATATTGTCACTACAGATAAATGAATTGATTCATCAGTGTCTGGTTTCGTCTTTAGATCCCTCTAAAGATCAGTGAGAGTTAATCTTTTTGTATGCTACTGTATTTTGGTGATCGACAAAGACAACCTACATCACTAATTAATGTACTTGCAGTGTTATTGTAGCCTAGAGCAGGTTTAAAACAGAATTTGTTGGATTTCTCCACAAAAAATAAAGTTACACATCTTGAGCACCAGTTTTATTTACTACAAATTATCAAATTGTAATGCCTCTTTGCCACAACATAAAACCTATTGTTATACACCAAATATACCTTGCAGGGTACAGTAGTAGGCGCACACATGTACATATATAAGACAGTCACAGTATGCTTGAAACTTCTCGATCAGATTACCTAAAGAACTAAGACCACTACACCCCAGATGTTGGAATTGAAACCCCACCAAATTTATTACTTGGAGAAAATAGTTTAAATACAAGGATATGTTGCATAGCATATTACAATAGACCTGAATGAACAAAGATGTTAATTAGCTTAGTAGTTGGATTACATATATAGTAATTATTTAACATATTATAATAGACCTGAATGAACAAAGATGTTAATTAGCTTAGCAGTTGGATTATATTAGTAGTAATTATTTAACACAAGCTGAAATTTCTCCATACCATGTGCTTGCGGCAAATGTGGACATAGGCCTTCATCATACTGACGTGTGGCAAAGCGGTCAAGACCCTTCTGACATTCATAAGAGATCCTTGTCAGCTATACCACCTAGTGGTCAGTGAGTAATAACTCACGTCAGTCTGATGAAGGCCCATGGTTTCATTATCCTAAGTCACATCATTGGAGTTTTTACACCCAGCTGCTGAAACTTATACACTTAAATCTTCCATTACAAGTATGCTCTGTTTCTTTCATGTTGAAATCTAAGAATGTGAAGGTAAGATGAAATCATGTTTTTTTGGGTCAACTTTTCTTTAAATAGTTTTTCATTTAAAGATATAAACAGTAGTTGATGTGACACAGACTATGCACAGAGTGAGTATAGAAGTAGAATGGAATGCAGAACTAGGCCGAAGCAATGTAGGTCCCTTATTTTCAAGTTGTCATGACATTTTTCTCTTTTCTTTCTCCTTCTCTTCTGTGTTCTAATCCCTGCATCCTCCCCTTGATACATAAGAGAAATGCCTCGCATGTTTTGTGTGTGTGTTTTTTTTTCCACTAAGTCATACTATTTAGTTTTATTACACAGGGTTGCTTGCTCTATACCTTTATTAATTTTCTGGGAATTTTTCACTTTCAATCTTAGTTTTTTTAATGTATATTCCGCTGTATATATCATAATGAAAAATAGATCTCGAAATATTGAGGGGGATAGCATCAGCAACTTGTTGGCATCTTATCTATTGTCTCAGTTGGTATGCAAAATTTCTCTTCACACTCTAGGCAGTATAGTGCATTCTTCAACGCAAAATGCAACATGCACAATCTCTGGGATATATACTTGTATATATGTGAAGGCAAATATTGACTGTTTGTATGAACAGTAATACTATGAAATATGTATTGATCATTTGCAAAATAAAAAAAAAATTGTTTTATGTAGAATTCATAACTAATACAGGGTAGGGCTTGATATGTCTCAGAAACCACAGCAAAGGCATATTTACCCATGACTTTTATAGAAATCATACATTCAAAGCAGAATTTTTGTTATAATTGGTGTAAAGGTGTTAATTAATTTATAGATGTTCATTAATTGTATCAGATCTAGAACTAAGTGAGTGTAAGGGGGGGAGGCATTGATCACAACTTTCTGTTTGGACTAGATGTTATATACTAGATGACACCTTTCTATATGACAGTCAGCAAAATGCATCTTTTAAACATTACTGTTATTTCAATGGTAGTATACTCCAGGGCCTTCTGGAAGATGGTCAGTTTTCATTCTTTTCTGACAATTTTTTTTCAAAATTTACCAATGAAGACAGCTAGTCTGCCAAGATGTTCAAATTTTGTAAACAATAACTTCAAGTTGTTTATTCAAGTTCATTGCCAATGCATAATTAGGGCATTAAATTAATTAAAATTTAAAGAAAAAGACTAACCAAAAAAAGAGTTGTTTTTAAATGATATAAAGGAAATAGAGCTGTCATACTTACTGTTATTTGGTTTTATGTAAATTTTTCATTCCAGTGAATGCATTTCTTAACTGTTAGATACTTATTATGATATATGTATTTTTCTACAAATGAAATTGTCCATTTCAGTATAATACAGTAATTCATATGTTGAAACTGTCAGTATAAACCTGTGAACAGGTTAAATTAAAACATAGAAGTAGAATAAGTCACTTAGTGTTACCTGTAATAAATATAATTTGAATGGAATATCTTCCATGTGAAACTGTTTTAAAGTAAAGTAAAGTAAGTAAATGCAATTTTAGCCTACATCTACCTTACCAAAGTGACATTTGGCATTAAAACATTATTTGATTGTTGTATGTAAATAATAGTAATCATGATATGTGTTCGAACTTTGTTAACACTATTTCTCTGTCCAACTAGGTGGGTGCAGAGGAAGCTAAGAAGCTGTCAGTCTGTGAGATCCCACCCTTGTATCACTTTAGCACAGATATGGATAAATTCTCATCTGTACCCAGAAATATCTCAGAATTGGACACTCCACTTGTAAGTACACATACTGTCTATAAGTAGTTATATTTCATATAAAAGTGCCCCCTTCTTTAATAGATGCCCCTGTCACCTACCAGTACACCAACAGAGCAGTGATGAAGTACACATGCAATCACATCTATGTGTACCGTTTGCACTCTTAATGCAGTCAGGGACCTGTTTAACTGCCTAAAAAAGGAAAAGAAAAAAAAACTAGCCAGAAAACTTCTCAACTTTTAGATGCAAGATAAACTGGTAGTTGTCCAATTAAAATATTTCTAAAAAATTACACCTGTTTTATAACAAGACACATAGCTATCATACAATACTTACTTAAGTGGATATCAACTGAAGTAAGGGTAATTTTTGGTCTAAAAGAGAGCATTCACATCGAGAAGAGCTGAGGTCTAGCAAGGCCAAGACCTAAATACGGTGGTCCTACATGAAAGGAAGACCGCGTAATCCTTTAATGGTTGCTTATTGACATTCAGTATAGAAAATTCGAGTATAGAAAATATTATTTTAAAAAATAATGCTATAATAAATACTATTTGTGATTAAATGTAACATTTTAAAATGTCATTATAGTATCTGTACGTTTCTGATGTCTAAAAGTCTACATTTTTAATCACCACAGGCGTGTATAAGCATGTTTGAAGAACAAGGCTTCATTACAAGGTGGAGAATCAAAAGAGAAAGTTTAGCTCGGTAGGTACTTGATGTTATTATTTTTTATTTTATTTTATTTTATTTTTATTGCAAGCATGCAGTATATATTTTTATAGTCATATTTGTGAAAAAATTTTTTTTTCTTTTTTTGCTGAGCAATTGATGATGATAATCATGCCCTTACCAATAATAATAATAATAATAAATAGTAATATTCACTTTGAGTTTTGATTTTAACAATATTTTTCAGGTTTGTCCTGATGGTGAAGAAGGGTTACCGTGATCCCCCTTATCACAACTGGATGCATGCTTTTGCTGTTGCCCACTTCTGTTTTATACTCAACAAAAATTTGCATCTTGAGAATTATCTGGAGTGAGTACCATATCATTCAGTTTTCATTGAGTGAATATTCACACCTTCGAGTATAGAAATCATAGATGGTAATTTCTGTTTTGATGCCATTGTGTAGAGAACATAATGGGTCAACCAGTCCTCAATGTAGTGTTTTTTTTTTTTTGTTTGTTTTTTTTTTTTCAATAGTATTGATTTTTCTGGTGTGAAACTTAAATTTTGAGTGAATGTACCCAAGAAGAGTATTTAGGCCACTGGTTTATAGTGTTCTTCTGTTTTGTTGATGATCCTTTGTGCTTTGAATTTTGATCAGGCTTTGATTTGATTTTGTCTTTGTAACCCTATATTCTGCACTCTAAAAATCTGGTGAATATGCACCTAAATATAAAGAAAAAAGCACAATTTTTTTTTCATATATTTGAAATTGTTCAAGACAAAATTTGATGACAGTAATAATGAATTCTAGTACCAATGCAATGTTTTAAATAAACAAGATATTAACAATGTATGGATATTGTTATTATTTTTATTTGTGATTTCAGTGAACTGGAGATATTTGCTCTGTTTGTCTCCTGCTTGTGCCATGATATTGACCACAGAGGTACTAATAACAGCTTCCAAGTGGCCTCTGTGAGTATATGACATCACTAGGTGGTCAGGGGAGGGGGGGAGACATGACAACCTCTCCTTCTTCCCCTTTCCACCCTAAATCTATCTAACTACCTTTAGTTTTCTTATGTGCAGGCATTTTTCCACTCATCTGACACCCCAGTCCCATTTCACTTCCTGCATCTACTGATGGATATTTATTCTGTGGTTAAAAGTGATAAAATGGCATTACTGCCAAATCTGTCCAAGTGAGATTGTTGAAGCACTGTTATTTTACAATTAGGGGCAGATCCAGAGATATTTTCTGACAGTCTTCCAAATCATCTTTGTTGATCCATCATAGATTTTTGACCGTCTTGCAATAGAAATAATTTGATGCCCATCAATGAAAAACTTGAAAAATTCTGAACGTCTTCTGGAGGACCCAGAAGACAGCTTCCGTCTGCCCCTGTACATATAATCCAGTGGAGATAACATAAGTACATTTTTAATCTACCAGTATTCCTGAACTTAGTGTCTGTTTGTAGATTGTCATTTCAATAATCACAGACATTATTATGGTTCCAAAAGTCTTTGATAATTCTTCTCTTCTTAAAATTCTTTTGTTATTGATTTTTCAGCAATCTGTTCTTGCTGCCTTGTATAGCTCTGAAGGCTCTGTGATGGAAAGGCACCATATAGCACAAACAATGTGTGTACTCAATACTGAAGGGTGCAATATATTTGAAAATCTCTCTAGAAAGGTAAGATGAACTGAGTCTTATTTTCACCCCTTTTAAGTCTTAAACAAAAAGACAACTATGTGTATTCTCAATACAAAAAGATGCAAAAAATATATATATTTTATATGTCCTTCAATTTTTGTAAAAAAAAAAAAAGGATATTTATATGGCACTCATTTGTATTTTTTTCCGTGTTGAAATAATAATTCATTACATTATTAAGCACAATAAACATAAATCATTTACTATATTGTAGAATTTGTAGTTGACCCAACCTCAGAAATGGCAAAGCACCTAGAGTAGACCCCCCCCCCCCTTACCATGATTCTTGCCAGCCTGGATTGAGACATTGTGTATTCTTTTTTTATGATGATTAGTTATCTGTTCCAGGAATATGAACGGGTTCTTGACTCAATACGAGATATTATCCTAGCCACTGATCTGGCACATCACCTGGGAATAATCAAAGATCTGGAGGTCATGGCTGAAGGTTTGTAGGCACTCTATCCTTAAGACACAGTATTTATTAACTGCTCCAACAAGTGTATATTATTTGGTATCGAGTTCTGTTGATAATGAGAAAAGTGCTCCATGAATAGATGTACTAGTACTTGACTTGTATAGATGTTTTCATTTTTAGTTATTGCATATCTATTTTTGTCTGAATAATATTTTGTTAATTATACCAGAAGAAAGGTAAATTGAAAATCACTAGGTTCTTGCAAGTGAGTGCTTTTTCTGAGTTGATGAAAATATAAAACTGTTAAATTTAGATTTTATGAAGTGTTTGAATTTGTTGATAATAAGTGTTTTATTTGTTCTATCAGTGGGGTATAATAAAGACAATATGCGTCATCACGAGCTCCTCCTGTGTCTCCTCATGACAGCCTGTGACTTATCTGACCAAACAAAGTACTGGAAAAACTCACAGAAAATTGCTGTAGGTGTTAATGAAATTTTTTCCCAAAAAATTGCTTATTACTTAGACATGATAAATTGAGACTGTGGGACTTTTTTTTTCAAAATGTAAAAAAGTTGAGAGGAAATTTTTTGTATGATATGTATAGACACTGTATGGTCATTTTGTTGATCTTTCTTTGTAATGTACAAACATTTTGGAAGGTCATTTTAAAAAAGTATTAAATAGAAAAAAAACATGCCTGTAAGCAAACTATGTATTTTTTTTTTCAGTTTTGAGAACAGATTTTAATTTTTTTAAAAATTTGCTGAATGTCTTAGAAATATACAAGAATATACACTTGGCCAATTTAAGTTTAATGATTTATATTTCAGAGGTTGATATACAAGGAATTCTTCTCCCAGGGTGATCTGGAGCGTGCTCTTGGCAGAGAACCCAGTCCAATGATGGACAGAGAGAGAGCCTGCATTCCAGAACTACAAATAGGCTTCCTTGATGGGATTGCTCTACCTGTTTACAGGTTGTTCATACATTGTGTGTAGTGTTATAAGTCAGTGACATTATAGCCAGAATTTCCAGACATTTGGCTAGTAAATTTGGTATCAGACTTGGAAAAGTTTTTTCCAAACTACGAGTCTTAGCAGACTAGTGGGAATTTATCATTCCATTGTTGATAAATATTATCAAGTGCATACTATAATTTTGGTCCTGGGTTACTTTTCTCATGGGCTAAAATTTAATTTGGTTGCCATTTCAGTTTGCTGTCAAAACTGTTTCCCTTGGCAGAAGAGGTGCACCAGGCAGTGCTCAGTAACAAGAGACGGTGGAGTAAAGTGGGTGACAAACTCAGGAGACTACAGGACACTGGGGACAGTCCCATTGATGTCTTTAATGTGGATGTGACATTAGAAGAGGAAGAAGTGGAGAATGGCAACCAAAGGTGAAACTATCCTGAGATGGCACCTTTATGTTCTGAAAAGTCATGCTCATTATGATAGGATAGAGGTGTCATAGTACATGTAAATGAACCAAAAAGAAAACTCACTGAAGGAAAGGGATATAGTTCAAGTTAAAGTAGAATGCACTAAAAAGAATCAGCAAAATTCTCTATACTAGTTTTCAGGTTGAGAATTTTGATTTATGACGTGTTTGTAGAGAAAAAGTACAAGAGCATGTCCATAGTGGTGTGCATCATGCAAATAGGAACAGAATTTTTAAGCCTGTTCTTGGTTTATTATCATGACTGAATTAGAATTTGACTGTTGCTGACAATTGGATGGAAGAGGGAGTGTATTCCAAGATACAAAAACAAGGAAATGCAGCTAAGTGACCAGCAACTGGTCCCTGTTCTAGCAAAATGCTAGAATGAGTGTAGAGACATTTGATAGAATGATATACTGTGACACATACCTCTAACTTCCCTCTTCTTATTGTGTTTGTGTATTTTTCCAAATACTGTGTATTTGTCATTAGGTTTGAAATTGGCACACTGCCTAGAAGAGATACTTACTTTGCAATTAACAGTGGGTGAGATACAGTTCACGGGTAGGAAGTTTGATTTTAAAATGTTGGAATAAGCAAGTAGAATTTCAAAGAGATCAATTAAAATAACTAAATGCACTTTTTGAATGTGTTGGATTGAACTTCAGTTGCAGTATATGCATTATTAAATAATTGTTGAACTAAAGATTTTTTAACTGTGTAAATATAGTAAAATTGTGTTTATAAGTAGTACACATGCATTGTAAGATGTTGGTTTAGTTCAACTTCTCTGTGATGAATAGACAATTGCAGACATTTAGAAAATGTACTAATATTATAGTTATTATGGCACATTACCACTCATTGTGGTTAAATACAATTTACTCAAGGCTTTTTGTCTCCTATGTGGTGTCAAAATAGAATGTAGAACAATTTATTTTTATCTTATTATTGAGAACTTATTTTAAACATACATTCTAAAACTATTTTTCTTTTGACATTGCATATTTGTTGCCCCTGCTGTATTTAATGATATGAATTTATTTAGTGCATGTTACACTCCGTCTATTCAGTTTACATATACAGCCTTATTTGCTGCTGGGTTAAGGCACCATTAACAGTGTCACATACAAAACATATTTAACTGGCTCATTAGATAGTGTTAAAAAGGCCACCCTTGCAATTTCCCAAAATAAAATCAGCATCTATTTCTAAATCTGACGGTTTTATCAGTGTACTAGCATTAATATATACTTCCCTTCATAATTAACAGAAGGTTTAAATTGTGGTATTCAGATTATCGAATATCTGCATATAGATTGTTTACAGTGTAAAAATGTACCCCCCTGCTAAGGTTTTCTTAGCTAACATGTTTTGTCTGTTTTACCTCATTAAAAATATTGATTAGCAAGCAATCACTGCACAATGTTCTGTGGCTCAGGGAAAAGATATTCACGCTCTTGGCTGCTCTGAGATTCACTTTTACTGTATAGCATTGTTATTTGTCTTTATAGTTCGTAGTATTCACTATTATGATTTGTTATCAAAGGGTTTTAGTTTGTTATTAGCACTGCTTACATGGATAGTTTGTCTCTTTTTAGCTTATATGAAATTATGATCAGACATCAAATTACTTAATCTCCATTAAGATGATGATGTTGACTTGTGTTCATAATTTTTTTTTTTTTTTTTTTTTTTTTTTTTTTTTTTTTTTTTTTTT